CACACACACACACACACACACACACACACAGACATACCCCATGCATAAAAGAAGCCCTTCACACAAGCATTTTTCTGGATCAGGCTCGTTACTGCTTACTGGGAGGGACAGAAAGCTGAGCTGAGAAGAGGAAGGAGACAGGCAAGCCACCCTAGCTACTTTTACTCCCCTTTAAGGCTGCCTGGTTACGGTCCTGGGAAAGAAAACCCCTGCATTCCTCCCCTTTAATTGGGTTTATTGTTAAAGCACTGAAGCAGCTAATCCTCACAGACCTGTAGGAGCTGGAGTGGCAGCCCCAGAGCACGATTCTTCCGAGTCCCTGGGTAAGATGAACCTGCTACTGTTCTTGGCTTAGGGGTTTCCTTGCTTGGTGGGAGGCATGCAGCACCTAGAGAGTGGGTGTGGAGAGCCACTTTGTGAGCGACTTGGGCATTTATTTCAGCCCCAGTTCCAGTCTTCCCTGATTCTTGTGGAATCAAGGGTAAGTTGCAGCTGCAGTGGAAAATCAGTCCGAGTAGGGGTCCAGGAGGGAGCCTTCCGACCATCACTCCTGGGCTGGCTGAAGTGGGAACCTTCTGGGCAGGGAAAAAGGAACCAAATATCTTTGTATGCCCCCTCCAGCAACACCTGCATTCTAGAGAGGAGCCTCCGGGCTCCGTGCCTGGGAGGGACCCCTTCCACTTGCGGGTGTCGGTACCTCCAACTCACTTGCACCCCTTTTTCCTGCTCAGCCTTCAGCTCTTCACCTGTCTGACCCCATCTGTCAGATCGGGTAATGCCTGCTCGGCCCACCTGTCTGGGTTGTTGGGAGGGTTAGAGAAACCAGTAAGCAAAACAGAGATTTGTAAACAGCCTGTGGCTCCGCAAACCCAAAGAAGGAGGATCAGCCTCAGTCGCTCCTGGCAGGGTCTGTGGACAGGCTCCTTGTCCCTGGCTGCCTTAAGATGCAGGACACAGCTGCTGTCGCTGTCAGTCACAAGACATCTCCTTCACCTTCCCCAGGGGCGCATTCACCTCCCTTCTGCCTTTAAACTTCCCTACTTTAGTTCTAGGTAAGGAAGGAGTTCTGGATTCACCACCACCACCCCCATCTGCACCGTGGCCCCTTCTCTCCACGTAACTTTGACGCACACGCGTTAACCCTGAGGCTCCCGGAGGTGGCTGCCAGGGCTCACGCTGGTCTGGCTGCAGTGCTCAGCTGGTCAGCCTCTCGCTCTGGAGCCAGGTGAATTGATCATGAGGAAAATCTCTGAGAAGGGTCAAGAGAGTCAAGCAGGTTCCGTCTTAGGTAAGAGATGATCTTTTCCAGATCAGAGACAGAACCAGGCCCCTGCCATGTCTTCTGACCCAAGCTTAATCAGAACCAAAGATGAGACCCACCTCTAAAACAGGCCATAACACAAAGTGCTTAGTAATACCTGATATGGGGACCACACTTTACAGTTTATAACTTGCTTTTAATTAATTATCCTTAGGACAGTCCCATCAGATGGTGGGGTATGTATTATTTCCCTCTGAGTGTAGATGAGACCACTGAAGCTCAAAGAAGTTATATCATTTGCCTGGGGTTGCAAAACTGTGTACTAGTAGTATTCATTTGAAGGTGGTGGCATTTGAACCCAGATCTTCTGATAAATTCAGTGACCTTTCCATGATGCTACAGATAGCTATGGGGTGTGTGTGTGTGTGTGTGTGTGTGTGTGTTTGTGTGTGTGTTTATTAAGAGAACTCTTTAGAAAATGGGGCAAAACATTGGGAAAGAAGCCTGAAATTAGAGAAGAAAAGGTTTGAGCTAGAGCCAAGAGGAGCTCAGGCAATAGACATGGTGACCCCAGCCTCAATGATGAGAAATCTGAGTGCTTCAGGGACTCTGCCTTTCCCAGACGAGCCAAGCCATGTGTTCTGGGTGGAGGGCAGGGGATCAGGTGAAGTGTTAGGACTGCATGACTGCATCATAAGGATAAAGGGGGAGGTGAGAGATATCCCAGCAGCCGCCTCTAGGAAAGAGGCAACAGGTTATGTGGTATAGTGACAAGGAGACCAGTATTGGAATCCAGCCCAACTTGACCATTCACTATCTGATTTTGGACATTTTTCTGAACATTTCTACCCATCAGTACCTCAGTTATAAAATGAGAGCTACCTTGAAAGGTGGTAGTGAGGCATTAAACAATGCAACAACATGCAAAGCACCTAGTGCAGTGCCCCACCAAGGCAGCAAATACGATGTGATCTGGGAGAAGGGAAAAGCGTCCCCCTTAAAGAGGAAGGTGCCTCCCTCACTCCCTTTCCCCCATACACACGCACACATGGCCAGAAATAAATTGCCACACCAGTACGTGCGAGTGACGGCTCCCAGCCGCAGCCTGCCAAAGCCGGCGAGTGAATGAGCTGCAGCATGAATGAGGGGGAGCGGCTGAGTCTGCAAACAGGCTGCGTGCCTGGCGCTACAACTGCAGGCGCGCCGCTGCGGTCAATGGCGAGGGGGCTGGGGCTGGGCGGGAGAGGCTGCTGGCAAGAGAGCAAGCCAGCAGGGCCAGGGCCCTCAGGAATTGTCCATGATTGTCAACCCCATGTCCTCGGAGGGAAGGCTGGTAACTCAGAGCTTCTTGGCAAAGCCTTCCAGAGTTCAGCCTGTCCTTCCTTCTGCACTCCCTCCCTCATAGGGTAGAGATTCTTCCTCTTGCCTTCCAGGAGCCACAATAGAGTGCCTGGCTGGGATGTTCAATAGTAAAGAACCCTGCTCTTGTTCAAAGGAGGCACCTCTGGCATGGGAGTTATGCTTAAAGGAGGCATGTGACACAGTCAGCATTCCCCTTGAAAACACCTTAGAAAGGTACCCTGTGGAGGCCTGATATGGAGAAACCCAACACAGGCATTGTTTCCTTCAGTGCTACGAAAGTTCCTTGTTTCCTTGGTTGAGTCTCAGATGAAGTCATTGGCTTGCACTCAGGGCCATGATATATGAAAACCGATATATCTTTAAACACTTTAGAGTCACAGGGAGATGAGATGCTCACACTGTGAAAGGCAGATGGGAGCTGGGACCAGCTGACAGAATGGCAAATTTGTGTCTCCTGTCCTGTGCTTACTCCCATTTAAATGCTTATTTCCTCTTCTCTTTCCTCCCGCTTGGTATCACAAACATGTGCCTATAATGTGGGCCCACTACATGGCACTTTGGAAGTTGCAATCTGCTTCCACGCCCACTGAAGCATTAGGCCTCCAAAGGAATGCTGAGAAATAGAGCAGGGGTCATTATTCCCATTCAGCAAATGGGGAAACTGAGGCCCAATGTTGTTTGGAGCACATTAAGAATGAGTGCATCCTGCTCCCTCCAGTGAACCCTGTGTATTGACCTCTCAGTCACCGAATGAAGCCCCAGAGAATGCTCTTCATGTCCTCTGTGAGAAGTACACAATAAACCTTAAGCAACACACGAATCCTGGCTTGTCACTACAGCAGGAGTGTCTTGGTTAAACTTAAATATGAGTTTGCACCTTAAAGAAACTGCAGACAGCAGCTGAAAAAACCTTCTTCCTCAGTCATTTTGTGAACAGAAATTGGCATGCAGAGTTGGCCTCTGAAATACAGCATGCAGAAGGGCTGGAGGGTGGAATGGATGATCCTTGGAGTTTCTCTCCAGCCACAAGTCTCCCTTTAGGGTGCACGGCCTGGACAATCCACTCACCTTGGCCTCCCAAAGTGCCGGGATTACAGGCTGAGCCACCAAACCCGGCTCAAAACTTTTTGAGGAGGTCACGTGGGACAAGGGAGCAGGAGTGAGGGTCCAAAGAGAGGGTCCAAGCACTGTGGGGTCAACAGATAACCTGGTGCTTCTGGGGTATATGATGACAATGTGGAGCCCACTGCAAGCAAATCTCATCTGCCTGAGAATTCTTTGGCAAACTGATAAGCCACTTGGATTGCAACTCATGAACTGGAAATGAGTTTCTCACAGCTACACAGACCCAGCCATTTGTCTGTGACACCGAGAGGAGAGGAGGACTGTGACTGATGGCAGCGACTGCTGAAAGTTTCATGTATTTCTCTAATAATGAAGGATTGCAAAGCATTAAGCTGACCTAGCCCACATTTTCCAAAGTATGGAAACCCCAGATCTCCTGGATGCTAATAGGTATGACAAAAGAAAAGAGTTTCACCATAGATTAAATTTGGGAGACGCCAGATTAAATTGCATTATGCCCATGTCTTTAATAGTCCTCAGAGTCTTTAATAAGCTAAAGTGAATCATGAATCTCCAAGAAGGTAGCCGGAGGTGAGCAGCAAATCCACCTTGCTCACAGAGCATCTCCTGGGACAAATATTCTGAAAAGTAAATTTCAGGGAACCTGAATTTAATTCAGTCTCCTCTCTTCACTAAGGAGAAAAATGGAAACTCAGAGATACATGGTGATCTCCCAAGGGCTGCACAGCTCCTGGATGTCAAGTCCAGACTAGAGCCAGAGCGTGGGTTCTTTCTAGTGTTCTTTCAATCCAGAGGATAACATGAAGTCCAGTATGGGCCAGAGTGTAGGAAATTGTGGGGCCTGGGCAAGAAAACTTCCCAGTTTTAACTTTTTACCCCTTTGAGGCCAAGTGCTATATGTATTTCCATGATTTCATGTGCCCCAGCCTGGAGGCAGAGAGCACATTCTTATTAAAGATGATCCAACTGATAACCTCCCTCCCAAGGCCCACAGGCTTTTCTGAGTCATGTTCCCAAAGACTGGAAGAGAGTGGAAAGAGAGACTCTAATGCAGTTAGGGTGCACTGATTCCTGTGAGGTCAGTAAAATAGCCAGGCAAGTTCTGAAAGGTTCTGAGGCCTGGTCACTATACCCCAGAATGATTCACACCTCCTTGCACAGAAGCCCCAAGTGAGATCACCAAATGAGGATGGCTCTTCCTATTGGTAGAATTGAGAGCCATTATCTGTGGGTCTAAGACTACAGAGGTCCTACTTGAAGATTCTCTCTTTTCCTGTCCTCTCCTTTGGTTTGTCCATGACCAGTTCAGGAACAATATTGTTGTTCCTGCATTATACATACATGATTGGATTGAATTGGATTGGGCCAGATTAGATTGGATTGGACTGAACTGGACTGGACTGGATTGGATGCCTTTGGATTACAGTGTGATGCTCCCAAGACGCTGGAATGTTTTATTAGGAGGGTAAATCTTAAGCTATTAAACCAGCTGATTCATTTAATAAGCACCTCAAGAGCAGGGCCCTAAATGACTGTGACTCAAATAGGAAGCTTTTTTTTTTTTTTTGAGTTGGAGTTCACTCTGTCACCCAGACCGGAGTGCTGTGGCACACTCATGGCCACCCCAGTGTCGACCTGCTGGGCTCCAGTGATCCTTCCACTTCAGCCTTCCAAGTAGCTAGAACTACAAGCATGCACTACCACAACTGGCTAATTTTTTAAAAAATTTATTGTAGAGACCTTGTCTCACCAAGTTGCCCAGGCTGATCTCAAACCCACAGGCTCAGACAATCCATGCACCTTGGCCTCCCAAAATGCTGGGATAACAGGCTGAGCCACCAAACCCGGCTCAAAACTTTTTGAGGCAGTCACATGGGACAAGAGAGCAGGAATGAATGTCCAGAGAAAGGGTCCAAGCACTGTGGGGTCAACAGATAACCTGGCACTTCTGGGGTATATGATGACAATGTGGAGCCCACTGCAGACATATCTCATCTGCCTGAGAATTCTGTCTGGGGTTAGTGCTGCTCCTGTGACCTAGTGGAGTCTGAGAAAGAGGAAGGACAGAAAAGTTGCATGGAAGAAGCATGTGGGGACGCGTGCCTCCTGGGCTAATGCCTCAAGCATCTCTTATCAGCACCTCATAAATAGCCAGGCTGGTTGCCACCAGGGATCACATAGTCTGTCCCCAGAAACACAAAAAGGCTGTACTCGGAGGTAGCATCCACCTCAAGGCTGTACTGCCTGCCCTTTAGGAAGAACTTTCTCCACTGTAGTCTCCTCCTCAGTTGCAAAATTTTCCCCCAAGAGGCCAGGAATATCATTTTTAAAAAATTACAATGAAGCACTAACTAGGAGCCAGTCACTACACTAGACCCAAGGAAGACACCAAGAGAGACAAGGTCTTTGTATGGAGTTGCTTCCTAGTTGGGATATTGACCTGAAACAAATAACCAGGATACATTTGGATTGTCATAGGTCATATCAGCTTACCTGAGAGACAGTAACTTTGGGTAGGGGATGGACAGACTCCAGGTAGAAAGGTCTCTTCCAGTGTCCCAGTGAAGTTCTGTTACCAGGATGCAGATCCCACCACCGACACTACATAGTCGGCCCTGAGGTGATGATGATGTGAAGCCAAGCTGAGTCAGCCTTCTATTGGTCATTCTTCCCTCTCTTCCTGCTGTGCCATGGCCACAGTCTCACTTCAAGGACTATAGACAGGGGGGCCCTCCTGCTGTCCCTCCCCATGGCTCAGGTCTCTGGAGTCATATAAAGAATACATCCACCCACTCATCCATACCCATCTTAAGTCCATCTCCTCTGCAAAACCCTACTTAGTCTATCTACACCCCAGGGCTCTTCCTCATTAACTCATTTGTCAAACATGGGTTGGACCTTTAGTGAGTGTCAGACTGAGTAGTAGGTACTAAAGATTCGAAGATGAGTAGCACATGGTCCCTGTCTTTAAGCAGACTGCCATGTATTTTTAGCTGTTTATTTATATGCCTATATTTGGTCTCTCTAACTTGATTGTAAGCACTTTCAAGGCCAGGCTCATATCATAGAAATGCCTCTAGTCTAAGGGGTATACACAAGGTACTTAATAAATTAACAAATGCATGTTAAATGAAGGAGTGTTACTTTCACAAATCAAAAATGACCCCGTGAATAAGACTTTTTTTTTTTTTTGCCAAAAGTCATTTTTGCAGAATATTCTTGACAGTCTTGTTCTGTTGAGGGGGAGGAGCCTGAACCAACTATGAAAGCCAACATCCGTGGTGTCTCCTGGGCTACCGATGTGAAATCAGCCCTAAATCTCAGAGAAATCTGTAGTGGCTGCTCCTGAGCTTTGAAACCCAGTGGAAGTTGTTGCCAGAAATAGAGTGAGAGGCGGGGAGTACTTTGGAAACAAATGAGAGCAATATTGGAACTTCAAGCTTCTCAGAATTTGTTTTCTTTTCCTCTGAAAAGGCCTAGATTACAGAAGTCAAGAGAAGAGGGGGAGGACTAGAGCAGAAAGAAGCAGGATGCAGAAATGGAAGGAACATGGGTGCCCCTTTCAGATCCCGCTTCTTGGACCTCCACCACATAGGGAATGGGGGCCTTGGGGAGATTCCTCTGAAGTCACAGAAGGGTGAGAAAGAAGAGCTGAAAGTGTGGGGGTTTCCGATCTGGGCCCCTGAGTTTTCCACATTGCAATGAAGATAGAACTAAATTGTTAGGATTCAGTGTATGGGAGGAGGGGTGGGCGGGAAAGATGTTTTCTTATAGCCTAGCTTCAGCTAAGAATACTATGTTTTTAAAGCTATTTAAGAGAGATGGGAAAGAAGGAACAGCGAGTACAGATCTGCTAATGAGGTGGTGAAGCCTCCTGGAGAGCAGGCCGTTATTCCGCAGGGCTCCAGAAGGGGGAGTGATGGACACTCAGTTCATGGTCCCAGAACCGGAAAGATGGCTCTTGATTGGCTCCTTACCTGGAAAAGCGGCTTCTGCAACTGTTGTTCTATGGCAGGGGTGGGGATGGGGGAGAGAGACAGAAGGAGACATACAAACTGACTCTGTTGATTTTGCTCTTTTAAATGTCCAACCCTTTGCCCTCGTCCTGTACATTCAAGACTTCTAAGCAGCGGTGTGTCTAAACAGCAAGAAGCAATTTGATGCCTCTGAAGATGGGGTCAACCCAATTAAACTCTTTAACCTGAAGAAACTGGTATGTGATAATGAACAAGTTCAAATTTAAAGTTACCCATTTCCCTTGTGGCTGCCTGGTAGAGTGAGAGTTCATGTATTCCAAAGTATCCTGATAAGTAGAAGTTGCTAGTTTGGGGCTCAGTGTCTGTAGAATGGCATCTGGGCAAGGACATCCCCCTACTCTAATATTTCATCCTCCTGAAAGCAATCTCTACCAGTCGGGTCCATTTGTCTCTGCCTTGTAGACTGTGCCCTGGAAGTCAAATATCAGCCCACTGTTACTGGCAAGTCCTTATATGGCCAGTGTCTGCATGCTGAACTGCTGTGGCCCCTCTGTGCTACCACCCTGACAGAAGGAGCAAATCAACAAATGGGTCTGAAGACACAAACACAGGCAACAAGACGTATATTCAGCTGAATCAAATGCTAAAAAATTCTTAAGATTTCTCACATGTATTTTTAAAGTAATAAATAGCCTCTGTCATATAGCTATGTTGCGAACTTACATGCTATACTAAAATGCAGTTTCCTTATTTCTAATAAATCTTTCTCATGAGCTCCCACCACACCAGACAGCAAGAAGGGATATGGAAAACTTTAAATTTGAACTTGTCCATTGTAGCATAGCCATCTCTTTAGGTTTAAGGATTCTCACTTAGCTGCTCCTGTCTCTTTCAGGAAAACACACAGAATTAAGATAGTCTTTTCTTTTCCTGCTCTGTTGGCATTTTATGTTATAAGGTATTTACTTGACTTTATGGGTATGAGAGAAAGGAGCCTCAGATTAATCTGGGACCCTGGATCCCACAGTTTTCTGGATCTCATCAGAAGCTGACCCATGAGCTCTGAGGTATGACTGGTCCCATGTGGCCCAAGGGATCAAGCTAACATATTCCACTAATGGCCTTTATCCTAGCTGTTTGCTTCTACCTGAGAAACCCTGGTCATAGTCGTCTCTTCTTCCTAATCCCAGTTGGCTGGCCTTATAGCAGCTCTACATCCCCTCACGGGACTGTGAGTCATGATGAACTGGTAAATGTTTAACAACAGGTCTTGGGACCAAGAGAGGTGGAGTGAGGAAGGAGCTTTGACTGTAGCACTTGGCACTTTCCCTGGTATAAATACTCCCACCCTGGTCGATTTCAAGCTATCAGCATGATGCCACAAGATGTGGGGTTGGGAAGAGATGTGCTCAGGGAATTTTCATGATACAAACTGGCTTCAATTCCCCACAGGCCCTGGAGAACTTCTGGAATTCCTGCATATCATGCAACATTGTCTCAGACTCACCTCCTCCCTCAAGGCCTCCCCATGTCTCTACACTGCTCTGTTAGGTACAGTTTCAGGCAGAGTTCCTCCTAGGCTTACAGCCTTTCACTAACAGGGTCCTGGGAAACCCACTCATCCATGTCACCAGTCTCGCCATTCCTTGATGGATGCTCTATAAGAAGCTGAAAGCAAAGATCTATGCTCTGATGACTACACTATCTGTCTCCCCATTTCCTTCCCAGGATCCAGTTGGATCAGAAGTGTCCATCCTTTCACATCCTCTTCCCCTCTGTCAAGGGTCTCACTTGTCTCACATTCTTCTTAACCTCAGGGCTCTAAGCTACATAGGTGTCTTAATGGCAGAAGAGGTTTCCCTCTATTCCATGGAAACTATTTTATCACATGAGCTCTCCAGATGCGAATTACCAGGAATGAAATACATTAATCCATGTCTCTAAAATATTATATCTGTTACAATTGCTTAACACGTGTGAGGCAATGAATATATATGTACTATTTCATTTAACTTTCACAACAAGAGGTTTTGTCTCCATTTACAGATGAGGAAATAGACTCAAAGAGATAGTAACTTGCCTAAGGCCATTTAATTAGTAACTAGCAGAGATAGGATTTGAACCCAGGTTGACCTCCAAAACTATGCTTTCACCTAATGCTAAATTGTAGAAGTACAAACATTTTTTGTTGTTGTTCTAAGGCTATTAGAAAATGCCATGGAATCTACTGGTAGTTTTTTTGTTTTTGTTTTGTTTAGTGAGGAAGAAAGGGCATTGCCCAAAGGGGACAGCCATAGACCTATTTTTCTACTTCTGCATCAAGTCCAAGGAGAATGAGATAGAAAGTGGTGGCAGAAATGATGTCTCATCCATCACTCCAGATACCCAGTAGTCCTGCCATCCAGCTGTCATAGGAAGTAGTTAGAGTGAAATATCCAAAGGAACAAAGATTCCCCTCAACTACATGTTTCTCTCAGGTATTCACAGTCTCTGTAAGGGCATCCCCAAATATTCCTGCCAGAAATGTGGGAGTCTTCCTAGACACTCCTACCACAGTACAACCCATCACTTAGTCCTATAGATAGTTGGACTCCAAGAATACATCCCAGGTCTATCCATTCTCGCCTTAATTCTTACCATAGTCCAAGCCACCATCCTCTCTCTCTCTCTGAGACTTCTGTCCCCTACCAATTATCCATGCTTCAGCTCTTGTCCCCTACATTCCTTTCTCCACAGAGCAACTAGAGTGAGCTCTTTAAAACATAAATGGTGTAATTTAACTCCCCTGCTAAAAATCTTTCATGTCTTCCTGTCTCGCTTAGAAGAAAACCCAATGTCTCCAACAGAGTCTAATGCCTTGTAAGGTCTGCCCCCTGCCTGTCTTTTTCCAGCCATGCAGAGTTCACTCTGCTGCAGCCCCGCTGTCTCTTCAGGGTCTGAAGCACACCACACTCTTTCCTTCCTTTGAGCTTTGGTGTTCTATTCCTTCTGCCATGAAGCTCTGTCACATACTCTTGCTTGGTTGTTTCCTTCACAGACTTCCAGTCTCAGCTGAAATATGACCTGCTCAAAAGGCCTGCCCTGACCTTTCTCTGAAGAAGGCTCTTCCTCTTTGTCTCCATCACAAGCCTGGGTTTTGTTTTTTCATAGTTTTCCCCATACACTTTTTAAAACCATACACATGTGACTTTACTTGACCATTGCTGTCTCCTTTAGACTGGCAGTCCCATGAAGGCAGGACCATCATTTATGTTGTCCATCAGCATGCACCCAGCACTTTGCACACCATGAGTGCCAAATAAATACTTGTTGACGGTTGAATGAATATGGCAACTCCAAAACTCTAGTAGAAAGTTATCTGAATTTTAGTGTAGAATTATTTGCCCAGGCCTGAGATAAATGTAAGAGTGACAAAGAAAACACAACGCTTATTCATTTAACACTCATTCATTTAACCTCAGATGGGTTAACAGATGGGAGAGAGGTTGTAGTGAGAAAAATTGGGAGAGATAGCAGAGCTGTGATATTAGAAAGGAAGTCTGGCTGACTCTGTGTCTGAATAAACACCTTGGCCATCATTTGGGTAACACAAGAAATGCCTCCACTCTGCTCAGATCCCCTCAAAGCAGATGTTCCCATGTAAATCTACACATGTGTGCACTATTGCCCTTATGTGAACATATAATAAACATTCAATAAGTTTCTTGTAGTAATTTTAAAAAGCAAGTGAGAAGATAGTCTTATTTTTGCCAATTATTTAAGTTTGCTCCTAATCCTTCCTTCCGGTCATCTCATACGAGATGTGAGTATTTTAGATTATTTTGCAAGCTTTTTTTTAATCTTCCTTGAGAAAGTAACTGACCAGACCTTTTTCTTTCTCCCTCTCCTCCTTCCTCCAACAAAGCTTCCCCAGAAGCTTCAACTCTGGAGGAGATGGGTCGAAAGGAAGAAGATGACTGCAGTTCCTGGAAGAAACAGACCACCAACATCCGGAAAACCTTCATCTTCATGGAAGTGCTGGGATCGTAAGTCCTGGGGCTGTGAGCCCTGGTGGGCTGGGCTGCCTGCTGTGGAGGGTTGGAAGAGTTGTTCTCAGCTAGCAGTAACAGGTGAAATGAATGGAGGCAGCTGTGACTTAATTTCAATGACTCTATGGGACCTGGGGAGGACTGTATGGCCTGAGGGGTGATGGGTGGAATGGGAGAAAAGAACCTTGGGGTAATGCCGAGGATTTAATACACCAGAGCCTTCAAGGAATAACAGCCGGTTTCTCCCAGATTTTACCTTCTTCTTACTTATAGTGACCCTCACTCTACTTTCAAATCTGTGACAACTTGTGGGTTCTTGCCTTGGTCACAGGACATGAGAGTTGGGAGTTCTTCTGGGGGCTTAGTGACTTTAGAACTTTCTGAGCCTCCTTCCTCAGCAGGCCAACCCTATCTTCTGCTGTAGGTGAAAGAAAAGGGACTTTTGAGGCCCAGAGAACTGATAGGTTACACCCACCTGAATCAGCTCTCCGCACCATCCTTTTTCCTCCATATGCAAGTGCTTCTGCTGTGCTGTAGTCCAAGCTCCTGCCAGCCTGCTCATGTTTATGCCTGCCCCTTGATGATGATTACTCGGCTGGCAGACCAGAGACAGCTTGTCTGAGGCTGACTCTCCACTTAGTCCGGCCTCTCCCCCAGGAGGTTGCAGTCTCTGACGCAGGCTGGCAGCAGCTCCAGGCCACCAGCTCCCACCACCTCAGAACCCCAGCTGGTTAGCTAATTAGTCTGGGCTAATTGGACCGGGGCAGTGAGAAGTGGTTGTGGGCTGTCCATCCGGGCAAGCTTTCTCTTGAGCCAATTCTGCTCCACTCTGCCCTGGCTAGGAGGCAATGACCTCAGGCAATGACTGCTGCCCACACTGTTGCTATAGATGGAGAAGAGACCTCTGGGCCCTCCCAGCACAGGCAGGTTGCCAGGCTCTGCACACGCAGAATGATCCCAGCAGTATGCTGGTCATGAGAGTGTTGGCCCTCCATCAAGGGCCTTTGCCAAGACAAGGGTGGCTAGAGAGGGGGTTTTGGCAGGAGAGAGAGAACAGGGCCCACAAGTGAATCAGAAATGACTTGCTTAGTATCCAAAAAATCCAGGGAGGAGGAGAGAAGAAAGCCCAAATTGATAAGAGCTTATTCATGATCAGCTAGACTTGTGCGTAGGACTCAGAAGACAGACACACCTGCCCTCTTGGAGCTCAATGAAGTCAACAGCAGCAGCTTCTAACCTAGAGGAACATCTTGGAGTCATCTGGAGATCTTATCCTCCAACTTTTTACTGTGAAAATGCTTAGACATAAGGAAAAGATGAAATAGTAGCACAATAAACACCAAGAGCCACCACAAAATTCAGTGTATATTTTACACACATACACACTTTTCATTGAACTATTTGTAAACAAGTTGCAAACACCATGACACGTCACTTCTGAATCCTTTATCTGCATCTCTTAAGAATACAGGTATTTTCTTATATATCCACAATATCACTGTCACACTCAAGAAAATGAATAATAGTTCCTTAATATCTTTTGAACCTAGGTAATTTTTTAAAAATTCCTGGTCTCAGACCTACTAACCTGGAATTTGGGGAGACAGATGCCAGCAGCCAGGAATCTTTATTTTGAGTGCTCCTGGGGGTCCTATTGTATTCAGCCTGACACTGATTTGGGCCGAGCAGAAGGACAGGGAACAAGTCACAGCTGTTGCAGTAGTTAGGACTGAGCAAAAGCTAAGGAGAAGTCACTTCGGTGGTGCTCAAGAAGGAGACATACCCCCAGGCTGTAGAATGACCACAGTGAGGTACGGTTGAGAGAGGAGCAGTTGTGGGAAGCAGACCCCCCTGAACCAGGATTCACCAGGATCCTATGTCAAAGGCCTCTTTTCTCCCACCCTCAGCTCCTCTGAAACAATGCACCAGGGAGAATAGCCTTTTGTAAAACTCATGCAGACACTATCCACCATTCCAGGATCCAAGGACAGCCATAAACTGCAGAGATAGTCCATAGTAAAGGAAGCATCACCCAAGTCCCAGGCCTCCTCCTTTCACTGCCCGGGGAGAAAAGTTTCTCCTTGGTTTCCTCCCACCTCCTCCACCATTCAGACTCCCAGCAAGAATGGAGAGCTTTTCAGAGCAAGAAATGCAGCCAAGTTCTGTTACAACAAGCACTCCTGGCTCTGAAGAACCAGTTTTGCCTTCTGACCCATGCAACCTTGGCTGCTCAAAACTAGTTCTCTGCTCCCCATCCCAGCAGATGCTACAATTAATCCCTCTAATTCCCTTCACCTGCACCCACAATATACACCCCCTCCAACCCACACAAAGTATAGAACTGCTTTAGCCTGAGACAGACGAACAATAACTGCATTTCAAATTGCCATAACATTGCATGATTCTAGGAGGTGCCATTTACTTACAGTGCAGTGCACACACTACCCTCAGGGCTGGGTAAACTGAAGGCCCTAATTTAATTCTGTTTCAAAAGAGGGCCCGGGATAGGTGTCAATTTTGAAATCAGGTGGCCATACAGGTGCAGTCCAGGAAAAAGGAAAAAACTCTGATGGTGGATCCTAATATGTCACAGCTGGAAGGACTCTTTAAGGGTATATGTTCCAACTCCCTCATTTTACATACTAGGAAAGTGGGGCCTAAAATGAATAGAACATACAACGAATCCTAGTCGGGACTTCTGGCCCAGCCATCCATTCAACAAATATTTGTTGTGAATTTTCCATATTCAGCCTGTGTGTAGGACCTGATACCCACCCACATCCACTTCCCACTATTCCCTGCCTCACACTTCACAGGTGGGGCTGCACTACAGATACCACCCGCTATCTGTAGTCCCTCACTTCCATGCTTTTACCATGCTTCCTCACCACTCATTTTCTTTTCTCTTCTTTTCTTTTTTTGAGTTGGAGTCTCACTCCTTCACCCAGGCTGGAGTGCAGTGGCACGCACACTCACGGCCACCCCAGCATCGACCTGCTGGGCTTCGGCGATCCTTCCACCTTAGCCTTCCAAGTAGCCAGAACTATAGATGAGCGCTACCACGCGTGGTTATTTTTTATTTTATTGTAGAGATGAGGTCTCACCAAGTTGCCCAGGCTGGTCTCGAACCCCCAGGCCAGGCAATCCATTCACCTCGGCCTCCCAAAGTGCTGGGATTACAGGCTGAGCCACCGAGCCCGGCCCATCATTTTGAACTCTTTTTTTTTACTGGGTTTACTCATTCATCCCTTAAAACTGAACTCAATGTATTCTTAAGTTAGGAGGCCATGTAATATGTGCTTCTCAGATATCCCAAATGATTACGTGTACAAATTAGGATAAAAGGTGTCCTTTTCATAGCCTGCTATCTGCCGGGATCGGGGGAGGATGTTGTCATAATTATTATATGTACAGGCACAATGGCTCCAAGGGGACTGGCATTAGCTGGAGTTGTGAAGTACACACAGCCTGCTCAAACATAGCAGAGGCCCTGTCTTAAGTGTCTGCTTTCTGTGGTCTCATAATACATCATTGTTATCTATATGTGTCTGTCTCTCATACTGGGTTATAAACTAGACGCATACTCATCTCAGTGCCTGACAGAAAGATTTCATCAGTTCAACAAGCATTCATTGAATGCCTGATAGCATTTTTCAAATCCAATGCTAATTGCTTACTTGTCAGTATTCCTCACTGATCTACAGGCTCCCTAAGATTGGAAACATTTACCTTTTTATTTCCAATGTCTAAGACTTAGTAGATACTCAATAAATCTTGGTTGAAGGGATGAGTAAATGAATGGATGAACAGAGCAAACTCGCAAGGCTCTGATTAACTCAGTTCCAAGTGCAGCTGGGGGAACAGGAAATTCCAACACAAGAAACACTATTTTCTTTTCTTTTCTTTTTTTTTTTTTTGAGTCAGAGTCTCACTCTGTCACCCAGGCTGAAGTGCAGTGGCACACTCATGGCCATCGCAACCTCAACCTGGTGGGCTGAAGCAATCCTCACACCTTAGCCTCCTGAGTAGCTAGAACTACAGGCATGTGCCACCAAGCCTGGTTAATTTCTTGATTTATTGTAGAGACGAGGTCTCACCAAGTTGCCCGGGCTGGTCTCAAACCTGTGTGCTCAGGCAATCCTCTCACCTCGGCCTCCCAATGTGCTGGAATTATAGGCTTGAGCCACCACAACCGGTCCACTGAGTATTTTCTTTTCTTTTCTTTTTTTTTTTTTTTTTTTGAGTTGGAGTCTCACTCCATCACCCAGACTGGAATGCAGTGGTACTCTCCCAGCCATCGCAGCCTCGACCTGCTGGCCTCCGGTGACCCTTCTGCCTCAGCCTTCTGAGTACCCGGAACTACAGGCGTGCACTACCACACCTGGCTAATTTTTTTTATTTATTGTAGAGATGAGGTCTCACCAAGTTGCCCGGGCGGGTCTCGAACCCATGGACTCAGGCAATCCACTCACCTCGGTCTCCCAAAGCGCTGGGATTACAGGCTGAGCCACCAAGCCTGGCCCCGCTGAGTATTTTCTAATGCAGATGTTTTAATTCCTTTCAAAAGCTTGACTGCTATTAGAACTTAATTCTAGAAGACCCAGATGGTAGGGGAGATGAGGGTTCAGCTGTTTCCTCACTGAGATTCTCTCTCCTCTTGTACTACTAGGTATTCTCCATAATGGTATTCAAATAATAATGTTAATGATAATAGTAACTAACACATTTGGTTTTGATAGATGTCAGAAGCACGTTTAAGCACTTTCATATATTAGCTCATTTAATCTTCTAAACAATTTTAAGAATCAGATACTACCAATACTCCCATTTTGCAGAAGAGGAAACTGGGTATATGGAAGTTAAGTGTCCTGTCACCTAAACCACCTAAACAGCTGAGATTTTAACATGGACCATCAGGCTTCAGTGTCTGCCCCTAGCTTAACAGCTGTTCTGATGGCCTAATCTCCAGAGGATCCCCTTCAAACCAAAAAGTGTATAATTTGGAATCCTACCCCGTGTTCTCATTGGATTCCCTCTGCTCTGTCTTCAGAGCCTACCTCAGAGTCTGGGTTCTGTCTTTTGTCCTTGCAGATCCTACTGAATGAATGAGAGGGTGTGCAGCCCCTCTGTCCTCTGGTAATTGGGTTAGGATGATTACTACCATCTAAAACTGATACAGAAGTTTTTTCTCTCTCACTGTGTCTGAGCCCTGTCCCATGTGCTACTTCCAGCTGTCGCTCCAGTGTACCATACTGTGCCACATTGGAAGTGATATGAACTGACCCTGTAGTGGTCTCTTTTTCATGGTCTTGCCAAGTGGAGAAATCTCTCCATGACCCAAGCAGAATTTCTGTCTCCAGGAGTTCTTCCCAATTACAGAACCAGAAAATAGCACCTTCCTAGTCCCTGATCTGTCGTGGGATCTTTTTCTTCTCACATTATCTATGAAGAAGAGAACACACTGGTAGGTCAGATTGTCCCTGCGGTCAACACAGCGCAGCAGGACCCACATGTCAATGGAGACTAATTATCAGCCACATTTTCTGTTCTCCACCCTTTTGCTTTGCTTCTAACCAGCAGTACTAAGTTTTACTTCTTGGTTCTTCTCCTCAGAGGAGCTTTTTCAGAAGTTTTCCTGGTGAAGCAAAGGATGACTGGGAAGCTCTTTGCCCTGAAGTGCATCAAGAAGTCACCTGCCTTCCGAGACAGCAGCCTAGAGAATGAGATTGCTGTGTTGAAAAAGTGAGTGGATCTTAAAGTTGGCTGGGATTACAACATTTCCTTCCCAAATTACCTTCAAGAAGGATGGGGGTGGGATTTCTGCACCCAAAGGCAATGCTCCCTTTGATTGAGTTGATGGGTTGTCAGTTTGGTCAATTAGCTAAGTTTAGTCAGACAGCTGTCCTGGCTGATGTTTTTTTTGGGGGAGGCAGCAAATTGATTAGTGAACCCACTGGTGGCAGAGCTGGTTTGTGTACACAGGCTAGAGAGTAATTAGCTCAAAGGAAGAAAAATCAACTGAGAACCAACATCAGGAAGAATAAATAAGGAGGCAGCTTAAGATTTGGAAATTAACCTCAATTTATACCCAAGCAAATGTAGGTTCAGCACCCCTAACCATCATGATGAGGCTACACTAACAAATCATCAAATGTTTACAGTAAAACTCTGACAACAAAACTTTGTGAAGCCCCTACAGTGTACCAAAAGTCAGTTAGAAACATGAACACAGGATCAGGACCACAGGGTTGAGGCAGACAAAATTCCTTGCCCTCAGGAACTCACATCTTCCAGGTAGAAACAGAGATGCCCATAACAAACTCTAATCCCATCAGATGTGAGTCACATTAGTGGAAGGCAGAGTCTGAAGGAGATAGAGATTCATTTTGCCTATGTGTGAGTTTTTATAAATATGAGTTATTAAGTACAATTTCAAAGAAGAAAGACCTTGATGAATGAGTAGAATTTTTGAGGGGCAAGAAAGGCAGTGCAGAAAGGGAATTCAAGCTGAGAGTAGCATAAACTTTAATGTAGAATCATGGAAGTACAAGGGTTATTAGGAAAGACTGAGTATTGGAAGTCCCTGAATTTACAGTGAGTACCATTAAATGACAAGAGATAAAACTAAACCAGTGAAATGAGACCTGATTATAAAGGATCTCAGATGCCATGATAATAAATGCTGCCTTTATTCTGTGGGCAAAGAGAAGACATCAAAGGAGGAATCACATGGTCAGATTAGTATTTTGGGTCTATCCCTCTTCAAAAATTGTTTTGTAGAAATAGGGTCTTGCTATGGTACCCAGGCTGGTCTGGAACTCCTAGCCTCAAGCAATCCTCCTGCCTTGGCCTCCCAAAGTGCTGGAATTACAGACATGAACCACCACACCTGTCCTGGTTCTATCCCTCTTTAGGCATGGATGGATTGGAAGATACCAACCTAGATGATGAGAAGCCAGTCATAAGATTTTCACAATAATCTAGTATGGGATGAGAATACAAGCAAAAGTAATGGCAAGATCATGTGCAGGCAAAAAGACTGGATACAAGAGATATGTCAAAGAGGAAAGTGATTGGGTTGGGTTTGACTGGTAAAAGTATAGAAGACAACAGTATTAAAAATGACCCTGAGATTGAGTAATTAAGTGGACAGCACATCACTGTTTGAGATAGAGAGCAATGAGATGTGTAGACTTAAAAGTAACAGAGAGAAATTGGTTGGAACATACCAAATATAGGTTTCCACCTATCTCAACAAGGAGGTGTCTGGTAAAATGCTAGAGACATAGGTCTGAGTCCCAGGAAGACTAGGGCAGAGAAAGACTGCCACCTCATTGAGAGCAAGGACACTATGGTCTTTCTTATTATGTTGTATCAACAGCATAGCTGTTCAAAAAATCTTTGCTCAGTGAATGAATAATTGATAAATTAATGTTAGCATTGTCAGTTTGTAGTTGAATCTACCACTGCAACTAGTCTGTATTTTTAAAGCTATCTTAGAGAATATAGCTATTGTTATGTGTTTACTATTCCCCAGGCACTGTAGTAAGCTTATGCATTATCCTGATATAACTCTATAAGAGACATATACTTTTCAGACAAGGAAAGTAAGGCTTAGAAAATTTGAAGAAGCCAGCTGAAGTTACCTAATTGCCTGAGCCAGATCTGAGCCTAGGCCCGACTGGCTCTGAGTCGAAGTTCTTAATTCCCATGCTGCACAGCCAGGAGTAAACTTCCTAGGGAATTTCCTCCTCTCCAGGCATACACAGAATTGCTGCCTGGCAAGCCAAGTCCCTTAGCTAATTTGATTATTCTGCTTGCCTCAGTAATCCCAGAAAACAGTAATCTAGGGCCGAGTTTCTCCACTACAATGCTACTAACAGTTTGGATCAGATAATTCTTTGTTGTGTTGGGGACTATCTTGTGCATTTTGGGATGTTTAGCAGCATTTCTGCCTCTCCCCACTAGATGCCACTAGCACCTCCCCCGCCCCAGTCATGATAATCAAAAATGTCTGTAGATTACCAAATGTTTCCTGAGGGGCGAAATAGTCCATGGTTGAGAATCATTGATGTAGGGCAACCTACAGAACTGACCCCCAAAGTAGCATCTGCCCTGCTTCTCACAATATCCAGAAATAATAATTTTTTCAATACTTCCTCTATGAGACAGAGAAGGCTCTATTACCCAGGAGGAAGCTCAGTTCACCTAAATCCTTCCTGTTGTATACAGGTCTCAGCTCACCTAAATCCTTCCTGTTGTATACAGGTCAAGCAAGCCTAATCCAAAATCCAAAATGCTTCCAAATCTGAAACTTTTTTTTTTTTTTAGCACTGACATGATACCACAAGTGAAAAATCCCACAGCTGACCTCATGTGACAGGTCACAGTTAAAATGCAGTCAAAACTGTTTCATGAACAAGATTATTTAAAACATTGTATAAAATTAGCTTCAGACTGTGCATGAGGTGTATATGAGACATAAATGAATTTCATGTTTAGACTTGGGTCTCATCCCCAAGATTTCTCATTATGTGTATGCAAATATACCAACATTTGAAAAAAATCTGAAATTTGAAACACTTCTGGTCTAAGATAAGAAATACTCAGCCTGTACTTTCTTCATGTGATATTTCTGAAGATTTGAATACCTATTTTTAGAATAACCTAGTGTTGGGTACTTCCTATCCTTCTTCAGCTCTCTTAACTTATCTCTCTTGGTAAAGCTTAAAGAGATTTCTGGAGTAACAAGAAAATGTTTGTTCCCTGGAGGAAGGATGGTCAATTACTCATTCAGTAAATATTGATGGAACACCTCCCTGGGAATCTTTTCTCTGGGATTACTTTGTGACAACCTACTTACTTTGAAGGCTTTGCAAGAACCAGATCTTCTTAAACGTTGCCATCAAATGCCTCCAACAGAAACTGTTGGGCTGGGTCTGCACCCTTTTCTGGACAACCTGAACCACATACATTTCATCATACACTTAACTTTTCCCCCAGGATCAAGCATGAAAATATTGTGACCCTGGAGGACATCTATGAGAGCACTACTCACTACTACCTGGTCATGCAGCTGTAAGTGAAAGGTGACCCATTTCTTCCACAGACAACTGGTAGGGTCTGGGAGGCCTGGTCGGTGGTGAGGGAAGGATGAATACAAAGACAAAATCAAGAATTCATTTAAGAGGCTCTGAATGCTAAGAATCCTTTTAGGCTCAGTATACCTCTGGAAGTAGACATGTTCTGTATGGACCAAGGGATAAACTTGATTTTTGATGGGCTGCTTATTGAGCTGGTGTGCACCAGTGCAGCCTTACCAGTTATTACAGTATGTCCTACCAGTTAGCAAATAGCTGAAACCCCAACCCATCCATACTCCCCTACCACCCCTCCCCTCCCCAGGACTTTCTGGACCACCCCACAATGCAGCAACTGAAGGAGTAACACCAGGCATGACAAGGAGTCACCAGAACCCTCTTCATAACAAGGAGAATTGGACTAGTTGACTCTCAAGGCCCTTGAGTTCATTTTGACCAGTCCATGTCCACCAAATTGAAGAGTAAATGTTTTAATATCACTCCAGGGTAAGATTACTGTAAGAATAAAAGCCAGAGGTAGACAGATTTCAGTATAAAGAAAGACTTTCTCAAAAGGAGCCACTAAAAGTTTAAAACAGACTGTGATTATGTACATCCATCAGTAGGACAGAAACTTTGCTGTATTAGCAAGGTCTCTGCATTACTGTCATATCCAAATAAAAATACTGCCTGATACAACTGCTATAGAGGTTGGTCAGTGTCCCTGAGGGCATAGCCTTGGTCTTAAAGACACATCTGTTTATAACGTGTACATACACACATTTGTACACACACACACCACTGTACAATCTCCGCGTGGCCAAACACAATGTAGTTTTTGGCTGATGGGCTAATTCCTTAGAAAGTTTAATGAGCAAACTCAGGTTTACACAGTTGATTAATTAATTCCTGGGCTCACCTGAGGTCCAGTAAAGAGTGGTTAGTAGGCAAAGAGTGAAGTGGGAAGGGTCCCAAGCAATACTAACAAGTGACCAGGGACCATATGGCACCTCAGTTCATAGGCACCAGTTTGTTCACTGTAGCTGTGACCCCCATGACTGCAGAGAAAACACATTCTCATTGCTTCAACCTGAAATGAGAACTGAATTCCTGCCCTTGCTCCTGTGCTCACAGTGTTTCTGGTGGGGAGCTCTTCGATCGGATCCTGGAACGGGGTGTCTACACAGAGAAGGATGCCAGTCTGGTCATCCAGCAGGTCTTATCAGCAGTGAAATATCTCCATGAGAATGGCATTGTCCACAGAGACTTAAAGGTATCAGGGTGGGATTCCTCAGTGGGAAACAGATTATGACCCTTAAGGAAGCTGCACAGGTTATAAGATGTCTACTCTCTGTAAAGTGAGAGAATTGGACTAGTTGACTCTCAAGGCCCTTTCTGCCCTCAGATTCCTTTAAAAAAAACCTTGGATAGCAGGGCTCGGTGGCTCAGCCTGTAATCCCGTGCCTTTGGGAGGCTGAGGTGAGTGGATTGCCTGAGCCCATGGGTTCGAGACCCACCTGGGCAGTGAGACCTCATCTCTACAATAAATTTAAAAAAAAATCAGCCAGGCGTGGTAGTGCATCCCTGTAATTCTGGCTACTTGGAAGGCTGAGGCGGAAGGATCGCCAGAGCCCAGCAGGTGAGGCTGCGGTGGCCGGGAGCGGCCACTGCACTCCAGTCTGGGTGACAGAGTGAGACTCCAACTCAAAAAAACAAAATAAAACAAAAAAAACCTTAGATGGCCAGACAATGGTTGTTCATTTGTACTTCAGTCTTTTCCCAAACCTTTCATTATTCCTCACCCTATTTGGATATCAAAATAATCCACACATTTCTTGAACCCAAGCACAGTCAAAATGAAATGCAACAAAGTACTTACTGAGGGTCTACATTGCACAAGACATTGCAACAGACTTTGAAGACATCAGAGATAATTAACCAAGGGTTGGTTCCCTCAAAAAGCAAATAGTGCTGGGCTCGGTGACTCAGCCTGTAATCCCAGTACTTTGGGAGGTCGAGGTGAGTGGATTGCCTGAGCCCGCGGGTTCAAGACCTGCCTGGGTGACTTGGCAAGACCTTGTCTCTACAATAAATCAAAAACTAGCCAGGTGTGGTAGCGCATGCCTGTAATTCCAGCTACTTAGAAGGCTGAGGCGGAGGGATTGCTGGAGCCCAGCAGGTGGAGGCTGCGGGGGCCAGGAGTGTGCCACTGCACTACAGTCTGGGCAACGGAGTGACTCCAACTAAAAAAAAAAAAAAAAAAAAATAGGCCTGGGGTAGTTGGGAGTGAGGGGAGGGAGGGAGGGGTTAGTATTAATGGCTATAAGGTGAAGTAAAGTCAGGGCCCTAAGAAAGATACAGAATACTAGTGTTCAGGGGTGAGGGTGATGGGTGAGAATGGGGGAGAATGAATTGGCCTTCAAGTCAGGAGCCCAGGATTCAGATTCCTAAGAAATTATATATCAAGAGGGAGATATGTGTTCAGGTGATTATATTCTAACTACATGCTGTTTCTCTTCTTCTGCAGCCTGAAAACCTGTTATACCTTACTCCTGAAGAGAATTCTAAAATCATGATCACAGACTTTGGTCTTTCCAAAATGGAACAGAGTGGTGTCATGTCCACTGCCTGTGGGACCCCAGGCTATGTGGGTGAGTTTGAGGGCAGAAGAGAGGTTGACCAGCTAGCTATGTTCAACCACATGAATATCATTCATAGAGAGGAGTGATTGTGAGGAGATAGGGTTCAATTTCAAGGGCTATCCAGGTCCTTATTCATTTATGAGGTTTAGAACCAGTCAATCCATCTATCTCTAGAACTACCTCTACTGTTCCCAAATCCTGCGTCTTTAAAAACAGCCTATCTCTGATCCCCTCCTATAGCCCCTGCCTCTGCTTTGGCTCACTCCTGCAGATGGACTTCCAAAGCTTTTGTCTTTCCAGCTGGACTAGGGGCAGAGATAAGATCACAAACCCAGATATCAGCAGGGAGTTAAGGGGCTAAACGCCAGCCCTTTCTCCTTTCTACCATGCTGGAGGAGACCTCAGCACACACCCCCACCCCTACCCCACCCCCACATACATGGTTGCTGGGAGCCTGGAGGCACAGGACATTGAGTTTGGGCCTAGGAACCCAGCTCTGGACCTCTAAATGTATACCCAAGGAAGCACGTCTGGAAAATTGGCAGAGTTGGGGATGTGGGCTTTCAGGACCCCAAAAAAGATGAGAGCAGGCAGGATTCCTGGGATCCATGAGGAGAAAGCTGAAACAGAACATCTGTTCCTTCCCCTTTACTCTCAGCCAAGCATCACCTGTTTGGAGTTGGGGACTGGGAAGCAGAGTCCTGACTCAAGAGAGGGAATCTACTCTTTCCCAGAAGTGCGGGGGTCGTTTACTCACCATCAGGTGTTCAGTCCTACTGGGTACAAAGCCCTGGTATCTGGGATAAATACAGAAGGCAGTTCTCTACTGTTTTCCAGTCAGAGGAAGACACGGCTCATATCACCCTGGAGCTCTAAGTCTGATGGGAAAGATTAAGCTCCTGCCCTCAGAAGGTACCTAGAGTCTGATGGTAGAGTTATTGCTTGTGCTCTAGAAGCTCCTAGCTTAATAGGAGATATTCAGATTCTTCCTTCCACTAGACTGGAGATCCCAGTCTAGTGGGAGAGAGACAGCCCTATGCTGAAGATCTAGCCTGAAGGGAGAGGCACAGCCTTCATCTTATCTGAATGGGGAGACACAGGTTCTACCTTCAGAGAGTACTCAGTCTGATGGGGCAAAACATGACCCTGGAGATCCCCAGTCTGATAGGGGAGTCAGTCTCAGACTCTCTTTGCAGAAAGATGTAGTGTTCCCAGAAGAGACACAATCCTTGCCCTTGGGTACCTGGGGAGTTTTCAGTCTCATAGAAACACCACCATCCCATGGTCTCCCCTAGTCCTCTTCTCTCAGCCTCTAGGAAGAGGACTTCAGCCCTCACACTATAGCCCTTTCCACTTGCCACCAGACCTGACTCTGTCCTTGGTCTGCTGCAGCTCCGGAAGTGCTAGCCCAGAAACCCTACAGCAAGGCTGTGGATTGCTGGTCCATCGGTGTCATCACCTACATATTGTGAGTAGACACTAGCCTGGGCTCAGCTCCTGAGAAGTCTCAGAGCCTGTTCACCCCTTTTCCTCTCCTCCCCTCCCCATCTCAGCTCCTCTTCCAAACCAGCATGTGTACTCACACACGCACACACACACATGCACACATGCACACTTGTGCACACAACTTCAAGGCTTCCCTCTGTCCTGACCTCCTCCAGGTTACAAAAATACAGCTCAGTATGAACCTATCACACAGCTATCTGGCACTCCCTCTTCCTGCACCCCACCCCATTTACTGTTTATAAACGTGTTGCATTCCACTCTGTGGAATGAGCAGTGAAAGAGAGAGAGGCCAAGCCAGACTTGGAAGCCAGGTGGACCCTCTGCTCCTGCATCTCAACTTTCTCACCCAAGGAAAAGCAGTGACCTGGATGAGGCTGGCCAGAGTCTCTGTTTTTCACTCCTCTCCATGCATTCCCAGGTGCTCCATTTCCTAACCTGCTCATCACCTCTTCCCCACCCTCCCTCCTCACCTACAGCCAGGTTTGCTCTTAGGAAAATTACTGGCTATTAGATGTTTACACCATGGTATTATTTCGGTTCTCTCTGTCCTCCATTTATTTGGAATAATTACTCTCTTTAACTCTTTTAATCAACAAATATTCACTGTCTACTCTGCATCAATCCCTGGGCTAGATGCTACAGAATGGAGCAGTGAACAATAATGGCCTAAATAAATCCTTCATGAAACTTACATTCAAGTGGACATTCTACCACTTTTATTAAAGATATTTTATACAGCATCCAAGAGTCAGGGGAAATACAGGGAGAGGTGGCAAGAGTTTAGGGAAATGATGTACATAGGCATATCCTGGGCTGCCTGTTCCAAGTCTTGGTGCTACGTAAACACTTTATGGGACGTGGGCTATTCCTAAATCAGAGGCATATTTGTATCCTGGTCACACTGCTGTTCTGGGGTCCTCATTTTCCACCTCTGTCTCCAGTGGGAGTCTAGGGGGAGGAGAGAGGCTGACCCTGGGATGAGGGTTGTTCAGTAATATACCTCCTTCCTGTCCCACTGCAGGCTGTGTGGTTATCCCCCTTTCTATGAAGAAACTGAGTCTAAGCTTTTTGAGAAGATCAAGGAAGGTTACTACGAGTTCGAGTCTCCATTCTGGGATGACATTTCTGAGTCAGGTAAGGCCAGTAGGTGTGAAGGGCAGACAACAGGCTCAAGGCAGAGGCTGCCAAGAGAAAAGACCTTAACAAAAGATGACAGTCCTGGCTCCCCAGGGACTTACAGAACAGGCTGCCAAGGAAGGTGGAGAACTCTTCATCTACTTCAAAGGCCAGCTACATTATTTATGTCTAAGGGCCATACTTCTGTTTTTCTGGGCACAGAACCACAGTATGCCTAGTAAGGGGGTGGGAGGGGTGGTTTAAATAAGAAGCAGGGAGGACAGAGCCAGGTGGTAGGGAGTGTTCCAGGAAGGGGTGGCAAAACCAAGGGGTTCGAGTCCAAGAATGAGCATGCAATGCCTATGTGTGAGAGAAGACGATGACTACATGATTGCTGGACGTATTACGTGGAAACCAGAGCTGGAACAACCCAGCACTCACATGTGTGCCCATGTGCCCATGCCAGCCCATGCTTCGGTGCAAGGGCAGACACGTGTGATGTGCAGGCACATGGATGCCTCGTGACTAGTGGTGTTTCTGCAGTTCTGTGTGGGTGAGGCTGCTTAGAGCCTCTCTTATTTGGTGGTTTATGGTGGGTTGTAGTTAGGTGGCTCGGATTCTCTCTCTCTCTCTCTCTCTCTCTCTCTCTCTAAGACTCTTAAAATTGTCTCCTTGGGAGATTAGCTAAAGATGCATTCACTGCCACCCACCAGCCCGGAAGTGAATTTCCATCAGTCTTGAAATCTGGTCCTTAGTTGTCGTGTCTTTGCTTGCTCCTCTTAGCCAAGGATTTTATTTGCCACTTGCTGGAGAAGGACCCAAATGAGCGGTACACCTGTGAGAAGGCCTTGAGTCACCCCTGGTGAGTGGACTCTAGACCCCAGACTTGTGGCTCCCCAAACCATGCTGACTCATTCACAATAATACTTCCTCTGGAATCTGCTTGCCCTGAGCCATTTAGTGTTGCACCATGTGGTGTGCACTGCTGTTCATCAGGCCCAGGAGAAGATACAAACAGCATCTAATGGAGCAGGCTCCCACCTAAGGGTGGTGGCTGAATTGTGCAGTCAAGTCAAGTGGTGGGCGCAGCCGGGTGTGGTCATTTAGCACTGGAACAGGGTGCAATGCTCAGTTCTAGTTACCTGAGAGGCGTCAGGAATGGGCAACTCTGTCCTGTCTTTAAGAGCTTCATTTTACTCTCAGATCAAAACCTGTTCCAGCTGAAATGATTTAAGAACAATCCCAACACTACCAATTGATAAAATAGAAAAAGGAAGTCTTTTTTTTTTTAATGTTATTCCCCTGCTCAATAATTCACAATAACTCCCCACTTCCCACCATAGCAAGCCTAGATTTCTTTGTCTTTCTGGTTTTCCTAAATCTGGCCTGACTCTTCATCTCCAGCTTCCTTCCCCAGGATCCCTAGCATATGTTCTCTGTCCAGTTAGGCCTAAGAGCTACACTTCTCCCCCTGACCCTCCTCATACCATAAGCTCCTTCCTAACTGCTCCTGAGTCAGACCATTTCCACCACCTAGAACATCCTGCCTCGTGCCCTATATGCAGCATCCTTCAGAATTCAGATCAGTCCCTGCCCTTGCCTGAAGCCCCTGACCCCTGCAGTCTATGCTGACCTCCCCCATTTCTCATTATTAATTATGCAGCTTACCACGAATTACTCCGGTCCATGGCATGAAACAATGCCCCACACCTAGACTGTAAGCTCCTGGGAGGTCAAGGCCTATGTCTCTTACTTCTCTGGGTCTCTTAGTAGTTGACGGGGCACTGAGCACACAGCAAGAGTCTGAGGAACACTTAGAGATGGGTGAATAATAGGCTAAGGGGACAGGAAAGGGGCAGCCTATACCAGATGGCCTCACTGAGGAAGGGTTCATGGAGGACATGGGTGCTAAACTAAAAGATAGTGACCATCCAATTACCCTGTGATGCTGGGACCAATAAACCTTTTCTGTAAAGGGCCAGATAGTAAATATTTAAGGCTTTACTGGCCATACTGTCTCTGTGGTAACTGCACAAAAAGCAGCCATAGATAATACCTGAATGGATGGGCATAGCTGTGTTCCAATAAAACCTCATTTACAAAAATAAGCAATGGATAGATTTGGCCTATAGGTTATAGTTTACTGACCCTGCTCTAAAAGTTTTCAGTTTTGCCAAAGTGTAAGCCCACTAACCTGGCCAGGGGGACAGAGGAGCCCTGGCTGCAACTCTTTCCTGATGTGGGTCACCCTTCTTCTGGGCACTCGGCTCTAACCTGGACTTTTGTGCACCCTGTCCAATCCCTGGTTGAGTGTCCATGGCCACTCAGTAGCCAGGTGTCCCTCTCTGCATCCACAGGATTGATGGAAACACAGCCCTCCACCGGGACATCTACCCATCAGTCAGTCTCCAGATCCAGAAGAACTTTGCTAAGAGCAAGTGGCGGGTAAGCTGCCCTTTCCAGTGGAAGCGGGGTGAGAGGAGCTGTTCTGGGTGCCTGGGGGCTGGGCTAGCAGGGACTGGTATGAGGGCTTTCCTTGGGGCATCCAAACAGGCACTGGAGTTCCCTATACCCTCTCTGAAACGAGAAGAGAGCACATTGGTTTCAGGAGGCCATAAGGCAAAGGGAAAGCTTGAGCCTGGAGCTCTCTGAGGCTGCAGAAGGGCAGAGGCTGCTCTTGTGTCTCCTTAGCAAGCCTTCAATGCAGCAGCTGTGGTGCACCACATGAGGAAGCTACATATGAACCTGCACAGCCCGGGTGTCCGCCCAGAGGTGGAGAACAGGCCACCCATCACTCAAGCCTCCGAAGCCTCTAGACCCAGCTCCCCTGAGATCACCATCACCGAAGCACCAGTCCTAAGCCACAGCAAGGCGCTCCCTGCACTGACCCGGCTGCCCTGCCAGCACGGTCGCCGGCCCGCTGCCCCTGGAGGCAGGTCCCTCAACTGCCTGGTCAATGGCTCCCTCCGTATCAGCAGCAGCCTGGTGCCCATGCATCAGGGGCCCCTGGCCACTGGGCCCTGTGGCTGCTGCTCCAGCTGCCTGAACATTGGGAGCAAAGAGAAGTCCTCCTACTGCTCTGAGCCCACACTCCTCAAAAAAGCCAACAAAAAACAGTACGTATTTTCAACCAAAGATGGAGTCCCGGCCCTGCTCAGCCTGGATCTGAAAGAATTGGGGCAACAGAACTGAATGAAATTGACAAAAAGGCCTCTCCCACTTCAGGCAGCTCTCTAGGGTGGGACGAGCTCTGAATCAGGGTCAAGGGAAATGCTTCCAGCCCTGTCCCTACCACTCTCTAGCTGTGAGGCCAGTATAAGTCTAGTTCACTCATCTGTAAAATGGGTCCATTGAAGTATATTCACTTGCTCAGCCTGCCCCCCAGAGGTGCTACAAAAGTTTAGTGAAGCAGCAGAGATTATAAAAGCCCACAGTAAACTGGGTTTGTGTGAGTAGTAGCCTTAGATTCCCTGAGTTTCCAGGGCCACTATGTTTGGAGGAAGGAAAGGGTAGGGCTTGGTTGTCTTGTCTGTCTTTCCTGCAAAGGCTTGAACTCTTTCAACCTCATAAAGAGAGAGCTGAGCAGATACCACAGACACAGAGAACTACCATCCTCTCCCTCCCTCTCCCTTACCCCAGCTCTTCTTCTTTCCTCAAGTTCTTCAAAGGCTATTGCTTCATTTCCTTTCTAGAAACTTCAAATCAGAGGTCATGGTACCAGTTAAAGCCAGTGGCAGCTCCCACTGCCGTGCAGGGCAGACTGGAGTCTGCCTCATTATGTGATCCCTGGAGCCTGTGCCTGTGTGACTGCAATTTTCAGGTGAGAACTAGAGGCCAAAGAACCAGGATATGAGGCTCAGGGAGAGCTTCTGTCCCAAAGCAAAGTCCCATGGCAGAGTCTAAATGATAGGGTCTGAGGGGGAAGGAGGTGGCAGCCCCATCCTCACCCTGAACCCCTTCCTTTTGCAGGAGAGATGTTCAACTCTCCTCTGCCCTTCCAAACCTGACATCTACCGGCAGAGGGAGGACGATGGAGCAAGCAGAGCAGCGCCTGGCAGGAGTGGTTTCTGGTCAGAAGCACCAGGCTGCTGCCACCTGGGGCAGCCCCTCACAGGAGGCCCAGGAGGGAGCCCCAAGGTGTGGAGGCCTCCTTAAAGCTATGGGCAAGAGGAGTGGCACCTGCCGGCTTCCAGGTCTCCCTGGCCTGCCTGCTGTATGCCCCACACCCTACGTGCCGTGGCTCTGTGCAGTGTGCCTAGATAGCTCTCACCTGGGTCTGTGCTGTTTGTCGTGAAAAGCTTCATGGGCTGGCCAGGCTGTGTCACCTTCTCTAAGCAAAGCCATACGGAGCATCTACCCAGACCCCTGCTCTGCACACATTCACTCCTGCCTCTCAGGCCTCTGTCCTTACGGCCAGGATGGGCTCCTTGCTGTAGTTGCCTGCCCATCTGCATGAATGACGGGCAGCTCCCATGGTCTGTCTGTGAGCTCTCAAAGTGCTGACCCTTAACTCCAAGGTTAGCTCCCAACCTTGCTGAGACCCAGCCAGTCAACTCCTCGGCATACTCTGACCCCCTCCCTGCTTCAATCTAAAAGCAGTACCACACCCTCCAAGGTGGAATAGAAAGAAGTCAATGGTTAGGGACTGTGAAAATACTTACTCTGGCCACATTCCCTCCATGCACACATCCTATTAAATTAACATGGAAGTTGACTATTTTAATGTCAGCCAGTTCTAATCCTGCCTCTGTTTCTCCTTCCTCTCCTTGAAAGTCAGATGCATCGTTTTGTCCTCCCCCAGTTTTCTCACCCTCATCCCCTCTAGCTTCATGCTCAGTGTTGTGCTCAATAAAATTGACATATTTTTCTCTATGCGGCTTCATTTGGTTCTTTCAAAGTCAGAAGCAGCTCAGAGACTTGGGCCTGTCTGGAGTGGAAAGTGCATGGACATCTGAGATCAAGAAGAAACCAGCAATTATAGCTGACATGTATTCAGAGCATCCAGTGTGCCAGGTACCTGGGACATGAGTTACACGATTAACTCATGACTCTTCACAACAACCACTTCGAGCTGGTTGTGTTGGAACCCAGGCAGTCTGGTTTCCCTGGCCATTCTCTTAATGACTATATTAGAGAAGCATGAGTTTGAGCACCAGCTCTGCTCTGATCTGTCCTATCTGTGACCTTGGGTAAGTTACTCAGCCTTTTATGACTTTGTTTCTTCTTGTCCCAATGGGAATAGCAACATTGCCTACTTCATGAGATAGTGCAGATGATTGATGTGCTCTGCACAGTGCTCAAAAATAATTAAAATGATTAACAATGGTCAAGAAGTTAATGTAGATAAAATGCCCAGCACAGAGCCTGCCTAGGCCATGATTAGCACACAAATGTTCACACCATTTTGTATTCTCTACCTCTATACACACACATACACATTCATCTACAACTTCTCTGTGAGATCCCAAGAGACAATTCCAGGCTTAGTCCTGCTTCTGGGAGTTGTGTGAATTTGGACATAAAAACTTCCCTTCTCTGGATTTCCATTTCCCCATCTGAAAATGAGAAGCTGGTTGGCTGTTCAAAGGTGAAAACTGTTCCTCTGGTAGCTCAAGAGTAGAATCCATCAAGTCCTGGGGCACAGGGGCCCATTCTCACTATGCCTGGGTACAAAGCAAGCTAGCCTGAGCAGAAGAGCACCAGGAACTCCAAATGGGAGGCAGAAACAAGTAACAGAGGTTTACATAGCGGGGAGATACACCATTTTCTGTTTTTGAACCTCCACGCTCCTTTCCAAAAAATTTTATTGGACTTCTCATTTGTACATCATTTTTTAAGTTTTTGTGTTGGTCCAGGATTCAGCTACAACAGAGAGCAAAAGGCAAGGACACTGCCCAGCTCAGCTCCCTTGGCTTGAGAGCTCCTAGTCATGATGCTGTTCCAGCCTCCACCATCTCTGTCCCTCAAACACAGCTGTTTTATCAGCTCAGACTCAGCAGCAGCCCAGGGTAATCTTAATAGCTGCACACCATGGGTGGTCCAGGCTGTGCCTTAGGCCCCATCAAAGTCTCCTGGAGCTGGAAAACATTCCAGCTCAATCTGCGACCTTCCCACCAAAAGGCAGAGGGGGCACATGAGTGAGGCTGGAGTTGGGACCTGGAGTATCACTTGCAGGTGGCATAGTAGAGCACGCGTCCATTGATGTGATCTCTGATCTGTTCCACGCGCTTCTCCAGCCCTGTCAGGTCCGCTGAGCGCAGCATGATGGCCTGGCTGCCCTGGAGCAACTCTGATTCCATATCTGAGGCAAACAGAACAGCAGCGGGAGGAGTTGATGATGAGACATCCAGAGACTTCCCATCCTTCCTTCTCCTCACCCTACCTGGAAGCAGGGGACTCCCCTCCATGGGAATCTGGCCTCTAAGTAGATTCTCCAGTCTCATACCCTGCCAGTTCCTTTCCCAAGATTAGAAACCTGGCAGGGGCCAGACCCAGGGGCCCACATCCAAAATAACCCTATACCCCTGCCCCCTCTCTAGGCTCTCTCAATTGTCTCAGGCTGATGAGGGAGTCCACTGGCACCAAGATCAACAACGTAGATTGTTGAATCCACACTGCTGTCCCACCAATGATCTTCAAGAGGGCCCCTGTGTAAAAGAGCTGACCAGGTGACCAGAAGCCTGCCCTATTTTCCCTCCCCAAATTGCCACTCCGAACAAATCTAGTCCTCCTCCTCCATTCTGCACACCACCATTAGAGAAACATGGAGGTCTGAAGGACTCTAAAATGGCCTGGCTCAGTCTGTACCCCTATCCCTCTAGGCAGTGGTTCCCTCTATCACATCCATGAAAGCTGGTACCCAGTCTCAGCCTGAATTTCTCCAGGAACAGAGGGAGCATTCATGCCTCACAAGCCTCCAACTTTAAGAAGCTCTGGTATTAAAAAAGTCATCTTCTCATTAAGCCAAAATCTGACCACTTCTTGCCTCCCTTTATTGTCCCAGGGCTGCGTCCTGTGGGAGTGAGAATATATCTGATCTGTTGCCACATGCAATCCTTCACATTTCAGAAGCTTTACTGTCTCCAGGTTAAACACCTCCAGTTCTCTTATCAATTTCCCATCTAATTGCTGGGTCCCTCCCTCCCTTCCCACACCAGTCACTCTCCCTCGATGTATTCAGGTTTCCCTTCTGAAGATGTAGTAGCCATCACTTGGACACCATCCCCCAGCCCTAGGTGAAAGCCCATCAGCAGAGTGTAACACTGTTGTTATTGGGTTGACACTCAGCCAGTGGGTACCCATATGGCCTCACAAGTTGATAAAACATTGAAATACCTCCATAGTGGCTGTTAAATAGTTGCTGTTCTGTTTCCCGGTCCCCAGCCCTAGAAGCTGCCCCCACCAATGATCCTTCCTCTTATCGTATAATTAAAGGCAAATTCCCTTGAAGCAGGTAAATTCCTGTTCCAATGCCACAACCTGAGCCTTTTCTGGTTGGTGGGTACATTCTACACCAGTTGCTAAATCATTTTACTATCCCCCTGACGTATTATACCCCTTACTTCAGCTGCTTTGTATTTATTACCTCTCTTGGCAGCAGCAGGACTTTGCTTGTGTATAACAAGCTTGCAGTTACTCAAAACTCCTGGCTCTTCTTCAGGTGGGTAACAATTCACATATGTATATTACTTACCAGTTATAAAGTGTCTTCAGTGACATCAGCCACTGAGAACCAGGCCTCCCCTGAGCTGTACTTGTGGGTTTAAGCCCAAACAAGGCCAAAGCGGGAGACTACTTTTCTCTTTAAGTTCATCTGTTGGTTTCAGCCCATCCTTTTAGACTTCTGTATTGACTTAGAATTCTGGCCTATTATCTAGTTCTTAACTATTTATTGTCCACAGACTTGATAAACAAATTATCATCACACAAAGTGTTGATGAGCAGGACCAGAGAAAGCCCTGACCCAGCCGCTGGTTCCTATCCCGGGTCAGCTCCTCTTGCCTCACCTACAGCCTCATATCTTTTCATCATCAGTCTACCAGCCCAGGCTTTTCTGCGGTATCCACTTGGATACCCAAAGAAATTTCTGCCAAACTCTTTTTCTGAGAATTCAGAGGTACTCTGTTTGTGGCTTTCATGGGACACACCAGCCCAGGGACCTCATCATCACATCTTATAGATGACTCTGGTTCCTGGGAAACCCTGTACTACTCCTTTCTAAGAAAATGTCAGAACACTCTTTTTTTTTGAGGGTCTCACTCTGTCACCACCCAGACTGGAGTGAAATGGCATGACCATGGCTCACTGTAGCCTTGACCTCCTGGGCTCAGACGATCCTTCCATCTCAGCCTCCCAAGTAAGTAACTGAGACTACAGGCATGTGCCACCACACCAGGCTAATTTTCTTTTTTTTGTTTGTTGAAAAGAGGCCTTGCTGTGATGCCCAGACTAGTCTAGAACTCCTGGGCTTAAGCAATTCTTCCACTTTGGTCTCCCAAAGTGCTGGGATTACGGGCGTGAGCCACTGTGCCAGGCCTCAGAACCCTTTCAAAAGTGACTTTCACTATGTCTCTGCTGTGTGCAAAACCCTTGGATGTGCCCTACTGCCAGGACTAAGTCTACCCTCCTCAACCTTACACTGAAATCCAGCCTTGTGAACCCCGTCACGATGACCCCATGCACTTCCCTCCCACTGGCTCCTTTCCTGTACCTCTCATCAGATCATACTTTGTTCTTTCTCACCATCCTTGTCTTGATGTCCCTCCTCTTCCTCACAGCCTCTCCCAGGCCTACGCATCTTCGTAGGCCACCTCAAATTTTATCTTTTCTTAGTTTCACTGAACGTGTCTCTTTCTGAAACCCTAGAGCCTTTATTATTCAACCCCATCACAGACTACCTTGTCCTGTTCAATACTTTTGCATGCATCTTACAAGCAATAGGAAAAGTGGTCTATGTGGACAGCAAGCTTTACAAGGGCAGACCAAGTCATGGGGACATCTATACATTCCCCAGACTCACCATGGTACATCACAGTCACTAGATGCTCAGGGAATCCTTCTTGACCTCATGCCCTTAGTACTGCTGTCTCTAACAGAGAGTGAACTTCAGAAGCCCTGAGTTGGACCCAGGCTTCAGAAGCCCTGAGTTGGGCCCAGGGATGCCAGCTTCAGTGGACACATGCCTGCACCTCTCCCTCACCTTTCATCCTGTCCATCATCTCCATGGTCTCTCCAAACAGCTCCTCTGCCTCTGTCTTGACACTTAGGATCCGGCTGCCCTGTTCACCCAGCATGGGACTCCGACCCAACCGGTCCTTCAACTCAGCATACTTTTGCTTCATTCTCTCAAATCCCTGTAACAGACAGAGCAGTCTCAGTGTCATCACCATAATCATGCAAAGTCTTAAAGGCACGTGACTAAAACACTTGATATCACCCAAATTACACACAGTGATAAGGTGCCTCCTATTATCCCCCAGTAGTGATGGTTTTGCCTATAAAAATCCTCAAGTCACAGACCACATCTTAAATTTCCATATTTCCCTCCTCCCATCTCCAGCTCCTGCCATTTCCCACCCACTTCCAGTACAATGTCAGGCACATAATAGAGTGTTAATATTAAGCTGTCACTTAATAGTATACTTGGCAACCTGGTCACTGTACCAGGATTGAACACGCCAGTGTTTCCAGCGCTTGGGAAGCAGGTGGTACACTTGAGACACTGAGAATGGCTCTTTGACCTTCTCCCTGACTTCATTCTCACAATGATGGAGCCTGGGCTAGGCTAAGCAAAGAGTGCCTGTGTAGGGTAGGGGTCCAGGAGACAAACTCTGGATCAGGTATCAAGAGACCTGCTTTGTAGGTGGGTTTTAGGCCTATGGACAAGCTACCATCTCATCCATAAAAGAAGAGTGACTGGACTAGATCATCTCCAGTGTCCCTGAACCAGTTACCAAAGCAATGGAGAGAGAATCCAGATGCCTGGCCAGGTCTGGGTTCATCCTGAAGTCCCTCCTGGATCGGTTATCCTAAGCATTTTGAGTCCATGGCCTTATAAAGAGTGCAAAGTCCTCTCCTGCCCAGGACCCTCTCACTGGCTGTGCCACTTTGGGCTAACTCTGCCCTCTCTGTACCTCCTGGGCACTCAGTGCCTGCTCGCTGGCGCCTTCTGCGAGCTGCTGAGCCCGGATTGCCTGTGCCCGCTGCTGCTGAGCCTGGCGGCGGAGCTCCTCCATCCGTGCCCAGAAGTCATCCAGTTGTTCCGTCATGCCCATCACCAGCCTTTCCGCTGGCCCCAGTACCTGCTGAACCTTTGTGGGAAGAGGGAAGAAAAGCAGGGTTTGTGGTGGGTCTCATGGGCAGAGGATTCATCCCCAGGAGTTTTCTCCAACTCATTAGGCAGCAAAAACTCTCTCCAACCAGGATATCACAATTGCTCCCCTCTCAAACCACTCTCTGTCCACTGACATCCAGGCCTCTTCCTTCTTCAGCCCAGCTGACCCCCACCTCTACTTCAGCTCAGAGCTCACCCCTGCCTTCTGCATTCGGGCCATGAGACCAGAACGTCCAAGGCTCAAAGCCAGGTCCAAGGCTTGTAACCCGCCTTCTCTAGAACTCCAGCTCAGGTTCCATCTGGTCACTTTCTGGCATCTTCTATACTGTGTGCCTAAATCTGTCTGTTCATTTCCAAATATGGGAAGAGGAAGCCATAGTGCCTCACCTCAGCAACCCTGTCCTGGATAAGCCGGAGGGAGCGGCTGGTGCCTTGCATGGTGTCCTGAGCTTCCTGCAGTGCCACCGTGCCTTGCCGTAAGTTCCCCACCACATCTTCTACCTGGCCCTCTACCGCATGGGCTCGGCTTCTGGATGAGGGAAGTGGAAGGAAGAGGAGAGAGAAAAGGAGTGAACGGAGAACAAATGAATGTATGTGGTTCAGCACATGCACCAGACCAAGAGAATACTCTTCCCGGTCAAGACAAAGAGCAAGGGGAGTATTAACTCAGTAGCTTGGACATCCCAGGACCCCACCAAGCCGACATGACAAATGTGAGCGTTATGCCTGAGACACCCTTTCAGCACAGTTTCCAATCTGGAAGACAGAGTTATGTGAGTAAAGTTTAACCCAGACCCGGTCTCTCACTGAAGCATCGACCACCATGGTAAGCACCCCCTCCTGTCTCTCAGCCATCTGCATCCCTCTCCCAGCAATGGCTTTGGGGAGCAAAACACCAGCCCAATCCTGGGCAGGGAGAAGTTCAGGTCCCAAGGCTGTACCTGGCCTGCTCAGCCTCAGCCTGGAGCCTGCGGGCCCGTGCAATGTCCTGCTTGGTCTGGGACAGAACTAGATCCACATTGGGGAGCCTGGCTGCAATGGCCTGGATCTCATCCATCTTCTGCAGGACTATAGACGAGTCTGTGGGCAGCCACAGGGCCAGCACGGCCTCGCTGACCTCCTGGATGGTGGCTGCATCTGTGTCGGGGTCTGGAAGACAGTCATATGTTAGATCGCCCCAAAGATCCCAGGCCTCTCGGGTTTGAGCAGCACCCACAGAAGGTACCCACAGTGGCCTCTCTGCCATGGTACCCCAGGGAGCTGCTGCCCCCTCTCAACCAGACTCAGGTGCCTGTTCTCTGGAAATTTCCGGGAGTGCTGTTGGAGGATGATTGTCCTATGCTCTGTGCTGGTGGGGGGAGGAGGTGGGATGTTGTCACAGCTGTGGTAATTAAGTGTCTGGTACCACAGGAAGCTAGGGGCTGGGGAGAAGGAGGTGGTGCCAGACAGCTGGTACTGCACAATGCCTGCAGCACATACACAATTGGTCCTAAATTGGGAAGTGCAGCCAGGAATTGGAGCTGCTTCCTTGGCAAAAAGACCCCTTCCCCACACCCCTCCTCAGGCCGGAGTGCTCACTTTTGCAAAGCCAGATAAGAATTATGAGGTCTTTGCTCAAATGTCACCTTCACAGAGAGGCCAACCCCAGCCATCCAATTCAGAATTGTAACCTCTGCCCTAGACCATCCCTCCTTATGCTCCCTCCATGTCTTATTTTTCTCTCTAGCACTTAGCACCACCCACTGGCTGAACACTGAACTCACATATCTGGTTTTTTGCCTCTTTCCCATCTAGAATGCATGCTCCATAAGGGCAGGGACTGGGTTTTGTCCACAGCTATATCCCCAGACTCTAGCACAGTGCCTGGCGCTTGGAGGCCCTCAGTGTGTGTAGAGTGAATGAACAATTGACAGGGCTTCACAGCCAGATCTCCACTTTACTGTTCAAGCAATCCGGGGCAAGTCAAGTAGCTCCTTGGAGCTCAGTTTCCTGATCTGTGAAATGGGAATGATGATTCTCAGTCTAAGGATACAACATGAAACAATCCATTAGCAAGACTTGTTACAAACCAACTCTGGGTCAGAGAGTGAGTAGGGTCAGAAGTACAGAGATGACATCTCCCATCTCTACCTCTTCACTTTTACAGATCTCACTGGTATTGAGGGAATAGGACATCCTCCTACTCAGGTGGTCTGCATCTGGGCCTAAACTCCTCTGGGGCCCTGGGCCCAACCTTACAATGAGAGCCACAATGAGAGGTTTTCCTCACCAGCTGTTTACCTAGGCCCCAGCCCCAAACCCTCTCCACCCAAGGTGGAAAGCTATTCCTTAGAGGGTGGAAGACATACCCATTCATTGCTGTGTCCCTTGGGGCTCCATGTACCAGACAACGCAGGAGCTCAGCACCCTCCCCATAGAGACCGTCAACACCTCCTTGAACAGAGTCCTAGTCTCAGAACAAGGTTGAACATATGCCTTCCGCAGAAAGCCTCCCATGATGAGCATGTCCCCACCACGCTGACTCTTCCTTTGTCCTGCATCACTTCAGCTGTATTCATGGCTGGGTCTGCATGACACTCAGCTGCCCAGCCTTCTGGGTCACAAGGTGGGCTCAGCAAATATTTACTGCTTTGAATAACAGCATGGGAGGAGTTGAGACTGCAAGTCAAATTAGACTCCATTCCTGCCCTTATGGAGCTGGAGGTCTAGTAGGAGAACCAGGCACATGAACAAGGAAGCACAACACTGAGTGATGGGTAAATACAGGTGCTAGGGTGGACATGCGGGCACCTAACCCAGTCTGAAAGGTCCAGGGAGGCTTCCTGGAGAGTGGGATGCTTGAGAAAACACATAGACGGTAAGTAGGAGTGAGCAGGGTCAGGAAGGTGAGGGAGGAAGATAACCAAGAGAAGAAAAACATCAACAAAGGCAAGAAGGCAAGAATGTGTGTGTGTGTGTGTGTGTGTGTGTGTGTGTGTGTTTGGCCATTCCATAGTGCAATAATGTAGAGTGGGGATAGTAGAGTTAGACCATCAGACTATCAGACCATCAGATCATCTACCCACACCACTTCCAGGATGGATGCCTTTAGGCAAGTTGCTTAACCTCTCTGTGCCTTGATTCCTTATGTGCAAAGTAGAATTAATAATAGCAGTTAGCTCATGTAGTTAGGATTAAATGATGCAATACATGCAAAGCATTTGGAACAGTACCTGGCACTCAGTTAGAACTTAATAAATCTTAACTATTCATTTTGTCAATTCCATTTAAAGAACAGGGAAAGGCCGTGTCTCCTCTTCCCTCCACAGATCTTCCACTCTCCCTTTCACATTGAGACCCTGCATTCAACAGTAACTAGCACCTAGTACCTCCACACCTGGTATCTCCAGCACTAAGACCCTGGAAACTAGAACCCACTTCTGTGATGACTGTGAGATTTTTCCTCAGTCCCTCTCTGAGGCTCTGCTTTTTCTCTCTGTCCCCGGACACATGATAGGACTTGACCTGGGGCACAAGTATGACTGAGAGGACAAGAGGGGCCTGGACACACCCTGCCTGTTCACATGAGCCTGGGCTGCACCCAGAAGTAGAAAATAACAACACATCCCCCACCAGTTGAGGCTGAGACCCTGGTTGAAGTTAATGTGGGATGAGTAGCCATTCAGCCTCACTGGGCTTGACAGAGGGTCAAGACTCCCTTATCTGTAAACCTAAGCCTCAAACTGTGTTCTATCCATCATTTCTGTTTGTTGAGTATCATTTCCTTGCATTTCCAGGTAACATTTCCCCCTGTGTGGATCTTATGGTCTTAAACAAGTCATGGAATCTCAGGGAAACCTTCCTGCCTCTCTCTCTGACCTACCATCTACACTCAGGAGGGGGCTTTGGCCTGTTTGGGGTAAAAACACTGCAATAGTAGCAAGAAGAGGCACTATCATTACACCAAGCCCTCAGCTTGCTGGGCTCACAGCCAGGCAAATTCCTTGGCAGGAGCCAGAAAACTAATAATATCAACTCTCATTCCTTAGGCACCTTTAATTTTTCAAAACACATTTCACATCAGTTCTTTGATCCTCAAATAAACTTGTGAAATACTATCATTCCTGTTTATAGAAGTGCAACATGAAGCAAAGAGAAAAGCAACCTGCCCAAAGTCACACAAGTTCCCTTGTTCCTGTTCGGGGAGCTTTCCACTGCACATCCCTGCCCCATACCCCAGAGCAGTGAGGGAGGAGACCTGGCTCATTTATTTGTGCCACCAATGTCAGATGCCTTTCCGTGTCTGGCCTTATGCTAGGTGCTGGTGATATCTAGCGGTACACAAGACAGACAACCATCAATGCCCTCTGGTGGGGTGACGGATAATCCATGTGTAGACCAATGAATGAGTGTGAGTAGTATGACACAGAAGAGGCATGGGTGAGAAGGAAGATGCTCAGGAAAGGCCTCTTTGGGAATATGAGTTGGAGAACAGGAAGCAGCAGCCCTGGAAAGAGCATTCCAGGCAAAGAAGGAGCAAATTAAAGTCCCCGGAGCAGACAAGCACCTGACAGATTCCAGGACAGGCTATGAGCAAAAGTGAGAGGAGCACAAGGTCACACCCCAGAGATGGACTGAGGTCAGACTGTAGCCATGATAGGAGCTGGGAGTTTATTCCAAGATCAAGGTGAGGCCACAGAACGATTTGAAGCAAGAGTGGGATGTGATCCAACTTATGCATTTTTAAAGAGTTGTTTCAGACTGTTCTGTTGAGAATGAGAATGGGTCATACGGGAGCAATAGGGGAGGCAGGAGAACAATGAGAAGGCCATGGCCATGGTCCAGACAGCAATGGAGGCCTGGAGCAAGATGGTGGCAGGCATGGGGTGGGGGGAAGGAGGCAGCTGCCTGATGAACTGAATGTGGGAATGAAGGACAAGCAGGAGTGGAAACATCAGCCGAGGGAGGCATGAAGACCAGGCTCACCGGTGAGGAAATCCCGAACCTGCTGGATGAGGAGCCGCGTGCGTCTGATGTCTTCTTCCATCTGGGAGCGGCTATTGCTCACCTGGGTCTCCAGGCGCTGGGCATCCGATTGGACCTGCGAGGCAGCTTTCTCGGCTGCCCTAATCTGTTGAAATACTCTAGGTCAGAAGGGCTGAGGGAACCTCTCAGCAGCCATCAAGGATTCTGCCCCTCTGCCCCAAGACCTACCTAGGAGGCATCTGTAACCAACCCAATTTAGCCCCAAAAGAAATGTGATGTCTGATTTTTTTTTAAAGTGCTCAAATCAGTGGTTCCCACTTGCTGTGGGGCCTCGAGCAGGTTACCTAATATCTCTGAACTTTAGCCTCCTGACTGTAAAATGGGAACCTCTGGATTGCCCAGGGGGTGGGGCTCTATCCAGTCTACCTCCTCCTACCTGTGCCCACTGGTCTTGGCCACACTTACCATCTCTCTGGTCTGCTGGAGCTGGGCATTGAAGCCTCGCAGCTGCTGAGCCACTTGGCCTGCCTTCCGCCAGGCCCCACCAGCCGCGATACCCTTGCAGTGGGAGCCACAGACCGTGCCATTGTCTCGGGGGCACAGCTCGCCAGGACATGCTCCTGGGATGCAGGCCATCTGCCTGGAGCTGCCACAGAGCTGAGGAGAGATGGGGGTGTCAAAGAGACCACCCAAACCCCTCAACAGCCGCTCTCATTCCGCACCCAGGAAACAAACAGCCAGACATCTCTATGACAACCAGGCACCAGAAACTTGTTTCCTTGGCAACCACTGAGCACATGGCCAGGGGCACAAGGATCAGGTTGAGTGAGGGGAAGGGGACAGGTTCTCAGGGGGACAAGTTTGCCCTAATGGGAAACAGGTGGTAGCAGTTGGTATGTGACAAGCTGGAACAGGGGCTCCAGGGAGTGGGACTCAATGCCGAGTCACCTTGTTGAAGGTGGGTGTCAGGTCAGGTAAGGAAGCCATCTCCAGTCGCAGGGCTGTGAGCTGGGGGCTACTGGCACCTCCTCCTCCTCCGGCCTGCTGCCCCAGCCCCTCTGCCTCTCTCCGGCTATCTCTGAGCTGGAGCAGCAAGCGGGAGCTGTCGGACACCCGCTGAGCAGCCTGGGATGACCGCTTGTGGGCTGCAGTCAGCATCCGGAAGGCTCCTTTGGGCAAAGGAGAGGGGGATGAAGACAGAGGAAGAGCAGGAGGGGAGACTTGGGTGGCAGACCCATGGCCACGGCACTGCGTGGGGCTGAGAGTCCCTCTCCTCACCTGAAGGATCAGCACTGCTTATTTTTTCAGACTGCTCCCTCTTGCTCTGATACATAAGGAGGAGGCGGTTGAAGCTTCTGTCCAGACTTTCCAGGTCTCCCGGGAGGGACAACATCTCCTCCTCCAGGGGCAGGTCTGGCTGCAGACCCTGGAGCATTCGCCTGAGGGTGAAGAAGAGCTCTCACTAAAACACAGGAAGGGGTTTTGCCTCCCCAGAGTGCCATCCCCTTGGAGAAACTGCTACCGAGGCAGAACAGAGAGAGAGAGGGCTTCGGCAAAGACAACAGAACAGAGAATCCACAGACTGAAGAGGATTCGACTGGACAGAGGCTGTCATGCCACAACCTTCCTCCATCCCTCTGCAGGTGGGTCCTCAAAGCTCTTTCCTCCTTGACTGTGTGACCCCCAAATTCCCAAGTCTCCTCCAACTCTCCCTGCTTCCCACTTCCATGAGGAGTATTACCCTGACTCCTTCCTCCTCAGCTCTCTGCAGGTTGACTTCAACCACCACCTGCACCCCTGACTCCAAATCCCCCTTTGCAGTTCCCACTGAGCCCCAAACTCCATCACTGCTGCCCACCGGCCATCCCCATTGAAGGCAGCTCAGGGTCCACCCCCAAATGCCCAACCACTGAGCTCTTAGCCCCCTCTCCCTATGCCCTGTGCACTAACAACCACAAACTCCCTCCTATGAGTCAAGCTTTGCTCAGGCATAGAATGTTCTTCCACATGTCCCTCCATGTCTGCGTTTCCAGACTACCCAGTGCCTGTGGACTCACTGCCCAAATCTGAGACTTAGGCCAGATAACACCTCCCCTGTGAAGCTTGCCATGACCAATCTCCCATCAGAGCTTTACCTGTCTCATAACATACATCACATTACAGTTCACTGTTTATATATCACTCTCCCCACATGAGCCTCTTGAGGGAGAAGACGATATCATATTTATTTCAATATCCCCAACACCTTGCACAAAGCTAGGCTCATAATAGATGCTTAAAAAACATTTAAAGTGAATGCATAATTGATTCCCAACATGTGCTCCAGCTGCTCTGCCAGAGGCCCCCAAAGACGCTTTGTCATATCCACAAGTCATGGATCCTCTGTTTTCATTCTTTTCAGGCTGCCTTTTTCTTGCTGCCAATCACACACCTGGAGGCTCTGCTCATTGTCAGCACTCAGGGAATGCAAACTAATTATAGAAACTTCCAGAACCAAATCTCACTAAGAAGGCATCTCTGCTGGTGGGATGGGGTGTGGGTGGGGCTGCTTCTATTTCAAAGGCACATGCAAGTTATTTTTAGAGCCCCTGGCTCTCAGATGCCCTCCACCATGGTGACTAATCCAGGGCTGACTCTCTCCCATGGGCAGCACCGGGCAATGAAAGAATGAGCATTGGGCTTGGGCTCCTGGCCTGTGCTCTGAGCCCCAGCTCTGCCCTTTGATGGCCATGTGGCTCCATCATACCACCTCTCGGTGTCTGTTTTCTAAATACAACAGGAGTAACAACACCTAACACACTAACCTCACAGGACTGTTGTGATCCTTGAAAGAGAGCACACATGAAAACACCTTTAAGTTGTAATGGGCTGTATGGATATACAGAAGGACTAGGGAGCTCTTTATGCGAACCCGCAGGGCACAATTCTTCTAAGTTCTTGGCAGGGAAAGGGAATTACCTGATGGAGAAGATGGCATTGGCCACCTGGGCCACCTCCTGCTCTGTGACCGAGGGGCTGCCGAGAATTGCTTGGATCTGCTCCATCTTCCTCTTTGCGCCTAGGATCCGAGAGGCCAGGCCACGGTCCTCTAGCCCTGGCCCTGACAACAGGCTGGCGGTGGCGTTGCGGAGGCTGCTGAGGCGCCCGGCATTCTCCCGGAGGTCTGCATCATAGGTCTGGAAGCAAGGGTGGCAGGCCACGCACACTGGGTAGCGGTCACAGTAGCCTCGCCGGCACTGGTCACAGCGGGGCCCAGTCAGGCCAGGGCGGCAAAGGCAGCGGCCTGAGGCTTTGTCACAGCCCGGGCCCTCAGTTCCCCGGAAGTCACAGTCGCAGGCTAGGGTCGAGAGAAGTTATAGTCAGAGGCCAGACATCAGGGAGATGGAGGTGGCTGGGAGGGAGAACCCTGAAGAGATCTGACCTGAGGTTCCTTCTATGTGACTTAGAATAATCGACTGTCACAGGCAGAATAAAAACCATGGCAACAGCAGCAGTGAAAGCAGGCACTTCCTTAGCACCGGCTGTGTGCCAGACACCATTCAAATTCACACACATTAACTAATATCATCTTCACAACCACTCTGGGAATTGGCACCCTGATTTGCTGCTTTTATAGATAAGGTAACTGAGGCAGAGAGGTTGAGTCCAATATGCTTCCACCCTCAGATGAGTCTAAAGAGGGGAAGCAGGCTGGGCTCAGTGGATCAGCCTGTAATCCCTGCACTTTGGGAGGCCAAGGTGAGTGGATTGCCTAAGCCTGCAGGTTCGAGACCAACCCGAGCAACTTGGTGAGACCTCCTCTCTACAATAAACCAAAAATTAACTGGGCATGATAGTGCATGCCTGTAGTTCTGTCTACTTGGAAGGCTGAGACGGAAGGATCACTGGAACCAGCAGGGTGACACTGGGGTAGCCGTGAGTGGGCATTGCACTCCAGCCTGGGCAACAGAGTGAGACTCCAACTCACCAAAAAAAAAAAAAGGGAAGCAACTTGCACAAAGCCGCCCCATAAGGCAAAACCAGAGCCTGATCTGCATACTCCAAGATCTCTGCCCCTGTGGCTGCACCAAACTAGCTCTGGGAGATGACACCCTTCCTCCTCGGGACTGTTTCTCCATCTGTGAGCAGAGGAGACATGCCCTCCCTTCCCTGCTGCTGCCCTGGAGATGGATTATGGGAAACACCCTCTCTCAGGGAAGTGGGGAACAGAGCAACCCTCCTGTCATGAGGACGTGGGCACTAGACCTGCCCTGGAGGCAGGGAGGCCGGAGCATGAGCACTCCCAGAGCTGCCCAGGCCCACACCACATGTATCGATATGGAATGTCCTGCAGTACCACAGACTCATGAGCTCCCCCACCACATACTCAGCCCTCCATAGCCGCAGTGTCCCCTATGCTTTATGCACACACCTCGGCATCCCGTAGCCATGTCTCCATGGGTCCGGTCCGGACACTGGCGAAGAGCTGCAGCATTGCAGGTCAGGCCATCAAACCCTTCCCGACAGGGGCACTGCCCTGTGAGCTGGGTGGGAGAGAGCACTGTCAGTGGACCCTCCCTTGAAGGTGCTGCCTTGCCCTGGTATGGGGACTGACCTAGTTCCCTAGTCGCAGACAGACACAGGGCTCACCTGCAGAGCCACTGTGTCCCCAATACCAGAGCTTCCACTCAGAGACAAGCCCTGAAGTCAAGGCCCAGAGTAGGCCGTTCAGAAGGTTAGCACATATCGCATTGCCAGAAGCTGAGAGCCACAGAGAGAGGGACATTTGGTGGCCTCCCCGAAGGGGAATGGGGACAGAAGAAGTCCAGCCTGATGGAAAAAAGGCCTATAAGGGCAGCATGGAAGTGAGACAGAGATGCAGGTGTGCAGGAGCCCTTTCTGTGGCCCTTTCTGCAAGCCAGCCTCGCCCCATACCTGGTTGCACTGGGGGCTGAGGGAGTTGTACAGGTCACAGGCGCATGGTTCACAGCCCTGGCCACTGGCCAGCTTCCAATGGTAGGGAGCACACTGGTCACACTTGGGGCCCACCACGTTGGGCAGACACAGGCAGCGCCCACTCTCCTCATCACACGGCATGTCCCGCCGGGCCCCCAGGGCATTGCAATCACAGCCTGCAGAAGGGAGAGCTGCTGAGCCCAGGTAGACACCCACAAAAAAAAAACAACAACCTCACATCCAGAAAGTAGGCCTAGCTTGGGAAAAGAAGTGGACAAGGTCGTTCCCTGCAGATGACATGGCTGACTCACATGGCCCCTGTGCCTTCCTCCAGTTCCAGCCACCTGGAGTTTGACAGCCTGCTTGCCCACCCTCCATCTGGCTGACTCAGTCCCACCTTCCAACCAGGGCCTGTGCTGACACCTGCTGGAGGCCAGTAGCACAGCACCTGGCGCTGGGGAAGAAAGCAAGAAATCAGACCTCCAGGTGAATGCCTGGCACATCTTCACTGTCTTGTCTACCCTACCAGGAGATTTCCTCTGATGACGGCACAGTGAGCAGAGCAAGTGTGGGTCTGGTGGCCCCATGCAGCCTGTCCCACACCGTGCCAGGTTGGGCCCCTCTACTCACGGTGGCAGCCCTGCGGGTTGGAGTAGGTGAGGCCAGTGAAGCCGGGCTTGCACAGGTCACAGCGCTCTCCTTGCACATGCTCCTTGCACACGCACTGCCCAGTCACAGGGTCGCAGGGAGCCCCTGGCACTGCCCCATCCGGATCACACTCGCAGGCTGAGAGACAAAAGCAGCCACCATGGGAGGAACAAGGAAAAGTGGTAAGCTCAGAGCAGATTCTAGGAGCCCGTCTGCCTGGTTCACATCCCTGGTCCACCACTGGCTTTCAGCCTCACAGCCTCAGTCAAGTCACTTAACCCCTCATCTGTACATGGGGATAATAATACAGCCCTTACAAACTTCTAATGAGGAATAAGTCTGTAACTATGATGGACCCTCCCCCTCAAAAAAACGGAACTCTCTTTTGGAGTATAGGCCCTTTGTAGTACACTTGGAATTTGTTCCTCCAGCTCAAACAGTCAACCAAAGTTTTTTATCTGGGAGTTTTGAGAAGGTTACACTACGATTTGGAGCAAATAGGTGACTGGCTCTTCTAATACAATAACGTACCTGCCCACACAACACTGAGTTTTTGGCAGTTTTTGTCCAAAACTGCCCCACTCTCCCTATTCACCCAATCTTACCCCAAGCGACTGTTTTTTGTTGCTTTTGTTGTTGTTGTTTGTTTGTTTCCTGGATATAAAAATATTTTAAAGGGAAAAGTTTTGCCAGTGTGGATGAGATAAACAAAAGGCAGAAGCATTAAAAGGCATCAAAATTGATGAGTTCAAAAACGGTTTCAAGCAGTGGGAAAAACATCACAATAGGTGTATTGCATCAAACCAAGAATACTTTGAAGGTGACTAAAGTTTAAACACATAAGAATAAATACACAATTTTGTACATAAATTCTGAGTTTTGGGGGGTTCCCCTTGTACAAGGCAGATGGAATAGTGTTAGGAGCATATCCTATATGATAGAAGCATTTTCATTATCATCTTTTACTGAGCAATTATGATGTGTCAGCCACTGAGCTGGCCACTCTTATATGTTGCCTTATGTAATACTCAGGATAACCCTAAAAGGCGAGGATTATTATCCCCATTGCATAGATGAAGAAGCTGAGGTTCAGAGATGTTAAAGAACTTACTTAAATTCATTTATATTGCAAGTCAATGCTGGAACCAGGGGTCAACTCAGTGCTGTCTCACTCTTTCCATAAACAAATAATAGCAACAGGAAGTTACCCAGCTTTCCCCAGCCTCCACTTCCTGACTTCTTTACACATTTTCAAGATATAAGACTCCTTCCTCCAGACAGTCTTTCCTGATTAAACTTGCCGGAGTCAGATTGTTTCTATCCAGTTGACTCTCTCCTATGTGAATTCACTTGGTGTTCTATTCCATTGCATTCATATATTCATTCAACAAACATTACTTGATTATCAGTGATTTGCCAACCAATGTTCTAGGACCAGACAATATAAGATAAAATCTCTGCCATGGAGGAGTTGATGTTGAGGTAAATAGAAAAATAAATACCAAACCATATTACAACATGGTAAAACAATAGCATATATATGGAGAAAGTGCTTTTGTCCCTCTTTTGCATGTGTTTATGGTTGACATTACTGAAGAGTATGTGTTCCCTGAGAGCACGAACTGTTCTTATATTTGCTTTTTTCTCTCCCATGCCTCAAGTTAGGGCTATATATTGATTGCTCAACTGACTGATTGATGGTCCAGAGAGGTTAAGTGACTTGCTCTGTTGTGCTCAGCTGAGTCAAAACAATCTCCCACAAGTCCTAACACTTCATCAGGTCTTCATGTTCCCCGAGGGCCTTTATGTCCGCAGGACCATGTGCTCCCTTTGCCCAGAGCAGATGGGGAATAATGAACAGTCCCAGAGCCTCTACTCACGTATGCAGGTCTCCTGAATTGGAGCACCTGGGTGCCGGTTCCGGAAATAGTGCAGCTGACACCGCTCACAGTTCTTGCCTTCGGTGTGGTCCCGGCAGCTGTCACACACACCTCCATGTGCCCCCTGGCTGGCGGCAAACACAGCTGGGTCAAAGTGACATGTCTCCGAGTGCCCATTGCAGTCGCACCCTGGAAAAGGAGAATCCCTAGGGCTAATACCTGACCGGCACCACGGCCATCTACAAAGCACGTTCTACAGTAGCTCACCGGCATCTTTAACAACTTTGCAAGATGCTCAGGACAGAAAAATGGGGAAACTGAGACCAGGGAAGGTTTGCATAATTTAAGGTTCCATGGCCAGTAAGAAAGCAGAGTAGAATGAGAACACAATCCTCCTGATTCCAGTGTTGGGATGAACCCAAGAACAGTGGCCACATTAGGTCAAAGAAAGAGCCCTTTGAATACTCTGTCCCCAACACTCCCCACAGCCACCACAAGTCTCCCGCAGGGTACTGTCTCTCTCTGGGTTGAGGATCCTTGCTTCTCTCACTTTTGCAGTTAAAGCTCCAGACCCCAGGGGGCCTTTGCAAGTAGGAAAAATGACATCAGAGAACAAGAGATGTTAAAAACACAATCAGGCAACTGGAGATGCCAGAAGAAGGAGGCCCAAGGAATACCATAAAAGCCACATGGAATCAGAAAAGCATGGTTCAAGCCATAGTCCCTTAGGCTTGGTGGTGGAGGAGGGTGAGGATAATGGGTGAATGCCACCCAAATACTCTCTCCCCTCCCCACAGAGCAAAGAAAGTTTCACCCCACCCAAGCAAGGAATTGCAGGGGTGCAATTCAGTTTAGATTCAAATAATAAAAACTAGATTTCCCCTGGGTCCCAGGTATTGTCACTGAGGCCTAGAGGTGCCAGAATGTGACCCAGTCCTGACAGGGGAGGGGGTGACCCGAGGCTCATACTTTGGCATTCATGGGGGTCCTGGCCCTCTGCAGGTCTCCAGGGCCGGTTGTTGTAGAAGGGTGCGCAGCGTTCACAGTTGGGGCCAGCAGTGTTGTGCTGACAGACGCAGACATCTTGGACCTGGGCAGGGGGTGTCAGTCATTGGGAGTTGTTAACAAAAGAGGGTCCAGGTACAGACACGTCAGTTCCCCTCGGACCCTTCGCTTACCACTCAGGGCCTGGCACAGACCCCAACCCTGCCAGGACACTTTCTCTGAATGCATCAGACTTCACCCAGCTCCTGTAACATCTCCAGTGGCCTCCCTGCCTGTCTTTGTGCATGTGTAACACCCGTACACATGCACACATACGTGCATGTGTGTGTGTGTATCCACGTGTGCCTGGCACCACTCCTCTAGTGAGATTTTTATAAGCTCATTCCCTACCCTCGAACACCCCCAGGATGCCCAGTTGGAGGCAGCACCCAAAAGGGGCTCAGATACCCTGGGTATGCTACATGATTCCAGAAGCTGGTGAGACCTCTGGAAATTTACATTCCAACAATCTATGAGTCATTGAGGTATAAAAATAGAGTAACTATTGTGCGCTAATTGCCTTCCAAATTAAGCCCAACACCTTCAGCTTGGCATTCAAGGACCTGTATAGTGTTTGCACCATTCTCACCCCCATGCCCTTCTAACAGCACAGTAAGCTGAACTGCTAGCTGTTCCCCATATAAGCCCTACTTTTCCCCATCTTTGGGTCTTTACTGATGTTTTTCCTTTGGCCTGGAATTCCCTTCTCTCTGTATTCACCAACAAAATCCTGCCTGTTCACTCCAGCTAGAATGATGTCTCCTTCATAATGTCTCCCCGGCCCCTCTAATTCCATAGAGCTCAACCTGGATATACCTCAGAGTCACCCGGGGAGCATTTTTTAAACATCCGGTACAATTCAATTGGAATCTCAGGGACAAGGCCTAGGAAGCAATACCTTTTACAGTGGTGATTCCACTGTGCAGCCAGATTTGAGGACCCCGCAGGGCTGGGTGGCTCTCTCCCTCTTCATCGTCCCATAGTGTACTGACACACAGCCTTGTGTTCTAGTTACTTGTCTTATGGGCCCTGGTAGATGCCACACTCCCTGACTGCCTCCCCAAAGAATCCTCTGCAGTCTGGGGCAGGAGTTGGCCCAGAATTAGAAAGAACAAAGCCAACTGATGCTCATGTCACCTGTATTCCCTCCCAGGCCATTTTACATGGTTTCCTCCTGCCTTTCTGTCACCAGGACAACCATGATGCTCCCATATATTGACAGAACTGAAGTCCTGGAAAAAGGAAGTGATAGATCCTTCTGCATCTTTGCTCAAGGTTTTCTCTTCTCTACCGGTGGTTCTCAAGTTTGATTTCAGCAAATCTCAGGGAGGGGGCATGGCTTGTTAAACTGGAGTTTTTCAACCCCCATCCCTCTCTACTGAATCTGATTCTGCTGGTCTAGACTTAGCATCAGTACTGAACATCGTTCTCTCACCCTGCCCCACATCCACTACTAGATGAGACTTAAGAATCCCTAAACCAGTGGTTCTCATCCCTGGCAGTACATTAGAATCACCTGGGAGCCTTAAAAACCAATTAAAATCAGAATAACTTAGGGTGGCAGTCTGGGCCATTTTTTTAAATTTCCCAGTGAAATTACATTGTGTAGCCAGAACTGAGAACCATTGCCTTAAGCTCCCCCTTCAATATCCACACATAAATGTAACTGAAATTAAAATCATCTCAAATTATAAGGCAGATCTAAAGAGGTACCACAAAATTCTGATTTTTAAGATGACAGTCACTTAGATTCTTTTCCATTATTGCTGAAGTGTTATATATCCAAGTCTTAGATTGAATGCCCTCCCTGCTTTATGTGACCTTCAAGAATGTCCTTAGTCTGCCCTGGTCCTGCCCTCTTCTTCTTCCCCTTCTCACCCTGGGCTGTTACCTGCACAGCGGTGGAAGGGCCTCCAGGGCCTCCGGGCTTGGGGGTACAGCGGTCAGCATGGCCGTGACAAAAGCAGCTCCCCTGCAGACGCAGCTGAGACACTGCATAGTAGGCACTGGGGGGGTGGTAGCCCCTCTGGGGCACAGGAGCCAGCCTGGTGAAGTTGACTCTCAAGTTCGTGATCTCCCCCAACTCTGAGAGGAGCAAACAGCAAGGAGGGAAGGGTTGGAGAAGGGAAAGTAAAGAAAGAAAGTCGCATACAGAGTCTCTTTGGGAAAGAGTTCTGATCTCACCATTTCTCTTCCTTGCCTCCATAATGTAAGACAAGGGGCTACCCTCTCCAGCCCTCAACCTTCCCACAGCACCCTAAAGACAATACCCCTATGGGATAAGCAAGGCAAGTATTAAATCCCCAACCATGTTGACAAAAATATGAAAGATCAGGAACTTTTCACGACTGGAGTTCCAACCTTGCTTCATTTCCCACTAGAGTCTCATGTACCAAAGGAGCGGCCATACTGACCTTGAATTTTTTGACCTTGAGTTGCAGGAATTCCAGATGCTAACTCCATAAGATTAAGTCGAACCTATAGAGGGAGGGGAAAGGGAAGAACTGAAGATGAGATAAACAGTGTGCCCAGAGCTCAGAAGAAACCTTCCTTTCCATTCAGTGCCCCACCCTCCTCAGGTCCTGAGGTCCTTCTTACCTGCAGCCTGAGATAGACCAGGATGTGAGGGGTGCCAACTGCTCTAGGAGAGCAAGACGATCACTGGGCCCTAAATGGGGTGTGGGTACGTGTGGAGGGCGTGCGTGGGAGTGTGTGTACCAACTCTCCTCTCCATTGAAAATATAGGCATCAAAAAAATTTCCTGATTTTCCTGGGCCAAAAATTATGGTAAGACATACAGTCCATATATGATGGGTTTAGGATACACTCATTTGCCAATGACCCAAGATAAATGACAGCATCCGGAACCCAAGGACTCATAGGTGTGATGACTCTGGACAACCCCAATTTCAAGTATGCTCTTTATTTAGAACAAAAACCACTCATTAGATATGACTTCATCTGCATATCCCAGAAAGAGTTTTCACATCAGTCCTCCACAAATGTGGAAAAAGTTCTGTCTGAATGCGAGGCCCGAAGAATGTGGCTAACCTCCATTTGGATAAGGGTATAGCCAAGGAGTTACTGTTAAACCCAAAGGAAAGAGGTGCTTTGCCCACAAAGAGGGCCCCACTTTGAGCACTTAGTCCACATGAGAGCAACTCTGAGGGTCTCAACTAAAGAAAGCCTCACTGCTGGGCTCAGTGGCTCAGCCTGTAATCACACACCTTGGGAGGCCAAAGTGAGTGGATTGCCTGAGCCCACGGGTTTGAGACCTGCCTGGGTAAATTGGTGAGACCTCATCTCTACAATAAATCAAAAATTAACCGGGCATGGTTGCGCACACCTGTAGTTCCAGCTACTTGGAAGACTGAGGCGGAAGGATCGCCAGAGCCCAGCAGGTAGAGGCTGCGGTGTCCGGGAGCGTGCCACTGCACTCCAGTCTGGGTGACAGAGTGAGACTCCAACTCAAAAAAAAAAAAAAGGAAGCCTCACCATATAGGGAAAGAAAAACTACAGCCTCCCCTGCTAGGGGGTAGAGAAAAGCAGCTATGAAAAAAATTAAAGAATTTGACCCAAGTTGGGAGGATTTGGGAAGAAACATTCTGAGTGTTTCTAAAGGCAGGTTTGCATTTCTAGCTCAAGGTTTAAGTTCAGATGACCTGGAGCTCTGGGCTGTACCAGAATTACCCCCCAAGGACTACAGCTGGGCTGGATGGATGAATTTACACCAAAAAGTTCATTTTTTTGTTAAATCTTACCGTGGTGAAATTAAATTTGTATATTTTGCTCAGTTGAATCTAACCAGCCATTCCAAAGTCCTCACACTGGGTAACGTTGATTTTATCCTATTATAGGAACATGCCAGAAAGTCATGGGAGAGGGAGCTTATGGAAGAGGATAGGGTTGGGTAATGTGGCAGCCCAAGATGTTTCTGAAATATCCCTCTCAGACAGCAAAGGATATAAGCAACAAATGTTTTGAGGGTGGCCGGAGGGGTCGTTATTGAGAAGTTCAGGAAAGACATCAGGAAGCATTCTCATCACAGGGGTGTTCTCATCTCTTCTCAAGAGTCTACGTGACTGTGAATGGTGGGACATCAAGGACTTCACCCTGTGCCTACTTCTTCTGGGTCCCTTCTACCTACCTTCCCTCCATTTAGGTGCCCATTAGGCCTCTGGGGCAGTGTCTGGCACCGAACATCTTGCCAGCTCTGAGGCTGGCCCTGGCGGATCCTGGGGAAGGTGGAGGTGCAGTCGGCAGCCAGGTACTGGTACACCCGCCATGTCTTGCCGAAGTCCGAGGAGCGCTCGATCAGCATGCCAGCGGGCATGGGCCCCTGCAGAGACACAGTGTGGGGAGGGGAGGCACCAGTGCTGTGCCCCCACAAACAGGTTCCTCCAGTGAGGAGGGGAGAAAGGGGGCCCAGTGGGAGCAAGTGGGCACATGAGGATCCCAGTTCAATCCTCCTGGCAGACCATGGGCCACAGAAGTTTCTTCTCGGGGGATGGAAAGAAATAGAAACTAAATCTGCCTTCCAGAAGGTGGGGTCCCTGGCTCAGCCCACTTCGGGCCTTCCAAGCCAGAGAGTTCTCCCACTCCTACACTTCCTACAGCCAGCCATTTCAGTCCCTAGTAGCTCTGGGTTATATCTTTCCTCTCTGTCTCTCTCTCTTTTCTCTAGCTCTATCTCTATTTCTCTAGCCACTGCCATAATGGTGCTGAGCCTGATTGATTGCCCCCGCATAGAACTCACATCTAGCCACTGTCCTGTCCTTCCAAATCACACTCCTCACTTCACCAGAAAGATCTTCCTGAATAGTTATCTGATCTGTGAGATCCTTCAATCGGTCTGCATTTGCCTGAAGATAAAATGTGAGCTCTTTTGTATGTCATATTGCACCCCTGCTCCTTCCTGTGGTGATTTCATCCATTTCTGGCATTTTTAAATGTGGCCATTATGCTGACATCACCCAGCTTGGGCCATTTCCTTGAACTGCAGGTTTGTAAACTCAGTCTCCAAAGCAGACCCTGAATAAGGTCTGGGTCTGTCTCCCCAGCGTCAAGACGAACCTTCCTGCAACCTCTCTAGTAGGTGCCACCTGATTTACCCATGTTCATTCTAACCTAGGTCATAACTTCATAAAACATAAAGCGGGCTGTGTCACTTCTCTGGTAAAAGTCGTCCAACATACTATTCTTGAATAAAATCTGAACTCCTGACTGTGAGAAAAGAGACCCAGGGCTCTCTGGACCCTGGCTCAACTCAGGCCACCTGTATCTCTCACATGAACTTACACCTTCCTCAGAGCCTTTGTCCTGTGTTCCTTCTGCTTGGGATGCTCCTCCCCCTGGTGGGTTCCTTTCCATCCTCTGTTCTCAGCTTAAATGTCACTTCCCTGTGGAGATTGTTTTCTACCTGTCTAAACTTCATTCTTCGTAGCTCCTGCTCTGCCCACTCTACCCCACCTCCATTATTTTCTATTTCAGCATCTTGTTTGTTTCCTTCAGAAATGTCATCAACATTTCCAATTATTTATTCCTTGGTTTCCTGCTTTTTATTCTTTACCCAAAAGACCAGGATTTCTCAACCTTGGCAATGTTGATATTTGGGGTTGGAGAAATCTTAATGGCAGGGGTTGTCCTGTGCATTGCAGGATGGTTAGTGCATCCCTGGTCTTTATCTACAGCTGCAACGAACAAAAATGTCTCCAGAAATTGTTAAGTATGCCCTGGGAGTGGGAAGGGGAGGGCAAAATTTCCCTGGTTGAAAACCAGTACACTAGACCATAGGCTCCTCTGTCTGTCTTGTTCACAGTTGCACCCAGCATCTAGCACACAGGTGCTTAGTACACATTTGTTGAGTGAATAATGAATCTTTAGTCTGCTCTCACCCTGTAAACTCATCTCTCAGCAGCTGCAGTTCTCCACATCTCTACTTCTCACCATCCAAGCACATTTTCCCCTCCAGACCATGTGTGCATCCCCTCACCCCTACCCCAGTTATATTCCTTCTTGCCTCTTGCCTCCTGGTCTTTACGCTTCCTGTTCTCTTTCCCTGGGAGGAATATTGTGCTTCACCTGCAATGACTGGTCTCTGAAGGTTCATCCTCCCCTGGCTGCATTCTCTGACAAGCCTACTCAAGACAGAGCAAGCAAGATGTCTCCTCATATGCTTCCCAGAGTATCTTCGGACCCATATCAGAGCACACACCACACTCTCTCACTGCTGGCTCTTTGTCTTCCCTGCATTTGGTAAAAGCAGCTTGAGGATTGTGATGTTGCTTTATTCATCTTTCCACCCCTAACATCCGATATCACACCTAACATATAATCAGTGTTCAGTGTGCAGCAAGAACTGACAGAAATGAATGGCTGAGTGATAATAAAGCAATGAGATTAGTTAGCAGCATCCGTCCAAATGAATGTTGCCCTTCAAAGTTGTCACCTTTAGAGACTGGGCATTTATTCAGATGACGCTGGCATTTCTCAAAATACTTTTGACCTTTACATGGGGTGAGGCTCTCAGAGTCAACTTTTTCAGTCACGTAAGAAACTAGGTCCTATTACTTTTTATTTCAAGCTCATTTTCTCTCCTGAAAATTATGACATGCTTTCTGATCATCTAATTTTATTAAACAAACTGATCATTGAATATTTGACTATTTATGTAGACAGATTGAAGTCAAATCTTCTCTGAAAACAAAAAAATGACCTGACACAAATGAATGAAAATATTCCCTTCCAAAGAATTATCCCAGAATGCTGGTCTAAGAGCAGAATCTGAAAGTACTTTGAGAAGTGATAGCACTTTTTTTTTTTGGTAGTGACAGAGTGGTCTCGAACTATGGCCCTCAAGTTACCCTCCTGCCTCAGCCTCCCAAAGCACTTGGATTACAGGCCTGAGCCACTGCCTGGCCTGGGAGTAACAGCACTGAATGAATGGATTGCCCACCAAGAGAGCTGCTCCAAAGGACATCTGTCATGTGGATAGGTGAATTCTTGACTGTTTGCGAAACTCAGTCAAATCTGCCAAGTTATAAAAACAGAGTAGACCAAATGTACACAATCATACAATAAGCAACCAGGCCCTGTTGAACTAGCCCTTGGCAGAGCTGAATTAATTAGAGGGCATGAGAGAGGAGGAGGATATACAACTACTGCATGACCAAGACAGGGAACCTGGAGGTGCCACTGTTCTCCCAGGAGCAAAACTGCTGCTGTCACCATGATATAGGCTCATGGTGAGTGTCACCCCAGCCTGGGGAAGGGAGTCTCACCCAGTCTGGGAAGACGAGAACACTGTGCTCCTCCACAGGCTTATGCCCACATGTCCCAGGACACCTTTCCTATCCACTGCCATCCCCAGGAAGCACACCTTAAACTCCATCATGATGTCTTGAAGCTGGAATCTCCTGTCCAGGTCCAGCTGCAGAGAAACGGGGCTCACATCTGGAAGGACAAAAAGTAAAACTTTAGGCCAGAGATTTTCCACTTTCTCGGCACTAAAGAAGCCCTAGACTAGCTTTAAGAAATCAGAAACTCTCTAACCTTGATTTTCTCTCTTAGAGAGCAGTGGTACCCAAATGTTTCTACTTATGTTCTCATTCTAAGATCCTATCTGTTCTTGGCCAGATTTCCTTACCACCATCACCTGATGCCTTTAGGACCTTGGAGGGTTTCAATTTGTCTGTTAGGCACAGAGTTGTTCCCAAGGCTCAATTCCTTCAGCAAACTCACCCGCTGAGACTAAACGGAGTGAAATAAAGGCATTTCTCTCTCCTCACACCCTTTCCTTAACCTTCGGCAAACTCTTCTACCTATGACATCCAACAGACCCCAAATACAGAAGCAGGAAGGTTTGGCTAGTCAACCACCCATGTCACGCCACCCCAAGAAATGCCTGGGAGACCCATAGCGTTCCTGGGCACTCTCCATCCATCCCCATCCCATGGAGCCTCCAGAATTGGACCCCTGTAGGTGGCAGGGTCTCACCATTCTGTGACTGCCACCAACGTGTGGGGCCAGAGGATGAAGCCACATTCTCCACTCGGTGACTGTTGTAGTTGTGAGGCAGCCTAGAATCACACTTGCAGCATTTCATCTGCCACTGCAGGAGAGGGAGACAGCAGTGGCTCAGAGACGGGTCCTAATAGAATTCCCCCCTTGCATCCTGAGATTCCAGTACATCCCCTCCACAGAAATCCTACCCTTAGGAATCCATTGATTTCATTAACACACTTGGAAAGAATAATCCCTTAAGACAGGGCTGTTGGTCATCTCATAATGTAATGCCTTTGGGTTGCTTCTCACACATGCAAGTGAATAGTAAATAGATGTGCGACTGGAGATGAGGCACAAGGTGGTGGAAAAGATAATTTTTGGTATGTGACGCTGCCCTGAAGAGAAATTTGAGAAAAGTGCCAAGAGCAAAAAGAGAGGAAGAAAAATTTACATTAATTTAGTGCTTACTGTGTGCCGGGCACAGGCTAGAAAGTTTTCTATCTTATCTCATTTAATTCTGGCAGCCTGGGGAATACTGGGCTTTTGAATGTCTGGAAGAGGGGACACCAAAAAAAGACAAGGACATTTGGAATTCCAGTTTTAACTCTGTTATCTCACTTCCGAGGCTCAGTTTTCTCCTCTGTAAATTGAGTGGGTGCTGCACTAGAGTCTTTCATTGATCTAACAAACAGTTATTGAGCATATACTATGAGGGGAAATCCCAGAAAATGAAATTATCTTTTGCAGGGTGGGCCCCTTGTAGTACAGGCTTTCCTTGCTAGGTAAGTGTTCTAGGAATCCATTAGCATCAGTGTACCAACTGGCATTGTCGTGAGAGGTTGCATTTGGCTTCAGTGAATTTTTGAGGGGGAAGTCTTTCAACGCATTTGCCCGTTTCATGATGGGTGTTTTATCAGCATACCTGCCCACACCAAGCTGAGTGTTTAGCAGTTTTTTACCAAAAATGGCATGACCCCCAGAGCCCACTGTTCCTAGTCACCTGATCTTTTCCCGAGCAACATTTTCTGTTTCCCCAGATGAAAAAGTCCTCAAAGGGAAATGTTTTGCCAATGTGGAAGAGGTGAAACAAACGGCAGAAACACTAAAAGTCACCAAACTGTTGACGAGTTCAAAAACTGTTTTGAGCAGTGGAAAAAGCGTCTTGATAGGTATATTTCATCAGAAAGAGAGTACTTTAAAGGTGACTAAAGTTTAAACATGTAAAAATAAATACACACTGTTTTATAGATAAATTCTGGTTTTTCTGGGTCTCTCCTCAATGTGCCAGACTCTGCTCTGAGCTCTGGAGTTAAAACAGTGAACAAACTAAAGACCCCACCCTCAGATAGCTGACATTCTAGTGAGATTCAGATGATCCCTAAGACCTTCTAGCACTGACAACTGGGGCATGATGATCTTTCCCAGGTCTGGTGTTCCCTACCTACAGTAAGGAAACCAGCCTCATTGGGGCAGTCCCCAAGAAACCGCACCTTCCCCAGACTCTGCCTATACCTTAACTTGAGACAAGAGCCAGAACTGAGCCCCACGGGCTCCACGTGAGGGCAGAGATCACCAAGAAAAAGAACATGACCAGAGAGGGCACGTGTCCTTTGTTCTTTTAGTTTGTGCCTATATACACACATTTACACACACACACAAACACAACATGATCTTGCTCTGGCTCCTCCATGTAACACACACAAAATCTGTTTTCTCAGAGTAACCATGGCCTCAAACCCTGTGTTCAGCTTAAGAAACACTATCCCTAAGGCTCCAAACTCACCCAAAGGTAGAAGCAAGGCTTGGACAAGAACCTCTCAGACCTGCTGGTCCCTCTGGGTCAACAGTCCCGCCACACACTCCACCCCTCTGCTTTCCTCTAAGCTTCCACTCACCAGAACAAAGGAAAGATCTGGTGGTCATCTCTATGGTCTTCTGGCTCCTGAAACTCTGTCTTCTCCAAGGAGGGCAATGTGCTAACTCAACTGATATCTTAGGACAAGTGGTATCTGCTAAATTTAACGGTTTAGCCTAACAACTCAAACTCAAAGAGTCTGTATCGGTAGACTGGGCCTATATCTTGAGCGATAGACCTTCCTTGTCCAACACCCATTGTCCCTCTCCAAGACTGCAACAGCTCAGAACAGCAGAGAGTGCAGAGGGGACCAGGAGTGTGATGGACTCTTTGGGCCTGTACCTCCCACCACACTTTCCAGCTCTTATCTCCAACCTGCAAAATAAGAGCATTACCATTCTTCCTGATGCAAGGAAGATGCAGCTTGGACATGATGCATGTCCACAAATGCTTTATTAAACTCTCACTCTGTGGGTGTTTAAGGCTCGAGTAATGGTTGGCACATGAATCTTCTGTAAAGCAGTACCTACTGATCCCTGTTGTCACTGTCACTGTGTACTCCTTTATGCTGCTATTATTTTTCATGGTACATGTCTCCACCTGACATCATACATTTGTTGTCTGTTTATTTATTTGTTTCTTGTCTGTCTCCCCCTTTTAGAATGTATACTACAGAGGGGCAGGAATTTGCTTTCTTTCACTGCTGTATTTCCAGTGCTCAGAAAAGTGCCTAGCACATAGTAAGCCCTCATTAAATATTTGCTGAATGAATAAATAGTAAACGCTCAATAGAGACCAACTGTTCGCATTAACATCATTGCTAGGCACTCCCTTCCTGCATTGAGGGAGCTTGAGAAGAGGGATGGGGGAGTGAGGAGGTAATAAAACATCAATATTGAGTGATGGAGTGCTAACTATGTGCCAAGTGCTATATTAGGAAGTTTCAGTGCAATAACCATTTAAATCTCACGATGACCTGATGTGATAAGCAGTATTAACCCTGTTTACAAATGAGAAAACTGAGGTTCAAAGAGACGGCATGATTTTCCTATTGACAGGTCACCACTGTCAGCATCAGAGAGGATCCCTCACTACCTCCTTCTCTTCTCTCCTTCCCTCTCACCCCTTCCCTGCCACTAGGAAGCCAGTTGAGTGGCAGAGACCTTGAAAATCATGGGAAGGGATGGCAATCTCTGTCTTGCCCAGTGAACCCCGAGAGGGGCTTGGTCTGGCCTTGAAGCTTATTGTGGGGGAAGTCTGAGGCAGAGGGAGAATTTTGGGAAGAAACCCAGCTTCTCCAGTGAACCCAACTCAGTGACCACAGAGACTGGTGATCTGTCACTGGCAGAAATACCTGAGCACTTAAAATAATCTTTTCTGGACAAGAGGAGGCCCTTGCTGGAGTCTGATTCCACTCTGGACCCCTATTTTGTCCCTGGCAGTGAGCATGCCCTTCATATTCTGCCCAGCCTCTGAGGGACAAACTTTTCCACTCCCCATCCTCTGTCTACACTCAGCACATGTCCTGAGGAGAGACAAGAGCCAGCTGCCTTCCAGCCTCCTGTCATCAGAGCTCTCTCCCCAGCTCTGCTGGGAGCTGGTCCCAGCCCTTCCCTGGTCAGAAGATGCCAGAAACAAGCCTCTTTCTTTCTCTGGGCCATAGGACAAGGAGCTAGAGACTGCGGAAATGCCCTTGATCCTCCCAAATGACAGGACATTTGTAACTATTAAAAATGCTGTTTAGAGAAAAATTTTATTTGCATGGAGAAATGATTTACTACAATGTTCTATGAGAATAAGCTGGTCATAACTTGTATCGATATACATGTTATAATCTAATATATATTTTTTTAATAGTAAATGTTTGGAAGGAAACATACCAATATATTAGGGTATATGAAATGGCTGATTCACCCATTTTGACTTGCAAATGGCAACTACATACAGTTCAATCTAACATCTATGGGTATTGGGATTATAATTAACTTTTCTCCTTCTTCGCTACTTTTTAAATATATTGAAAGTTTTATACCTTAAGAATATATTGACTTTCACATTCAGGAAGATAGGTATTATAAAACATAGCCAACAACAAATGTCCAGGATGCTCACCATGGGCTTATTACCCTTCCACCTCTCTCAGTCTTCATAGGGACAATCTGGGATACCCCATGCCTTCTCCGCCTTCCTTCCACGTGTGCAGGCACTGATGGAGGGATCAGGTGGCCTCATCGGCTTACCAACTATGTGATGCTTGTCATAGTAACATAGCTAAAGGAGGGATTTATCGCCATCCTCAGAGACAGACTACACCAACAGGCTTGAGACAGGTATTTTAAGTAGCTCTGCTTGTCAAGAAAGCCTGAAATAGAGCTGCTACAGCAGAAGTCCATGTGAAGAGAAGTCACTAATTTTTTCTTTCCTCTGAGCCTCAGTTTCCCTTTCTGCTTTATTCTTGCAGGCTTATATGTAGTGTGCTCATATACATAAGTGTAAATGTAAGTGGGTATGTGTGTGAGTCTCAATGTGAGGCTCTTCCTTTCTCATGTGTTACATGCCCCTGTCTCTTTCAGAGATGGAAGCTCTCAGCTGTAGCCGACTCCCTCTCTGGGGTCATTTGGCCAGCATTCTCCTGGCTTCATTACCTCAGAGACATAGCATTAGTATCAATTCAGCCTGTCAGGCCTCCAGACAGTTTGGCTCCTGCTTGCTCTCCAGCTGGAAAGCCTGGGCCTTCTCCCTTAACCTAGAGCTTTCTAGAAGCTCAACAGTCTGGCTAGAAGACAAACCCTCCCAGAGAGCTAGGGGAGGGTAAAGGAGTGAGCGAGTAAGAGCCAACAGGGTCCTGAATGACAGTAGAAGTGGGTGGAAAGGCAAGGCACCTGCAAGTTAAAGCTCTGTGCCTGTGCAGAAAACAGAGCTAATTCTGAGGAAATGTTGGAAAACAGGATCTAGTCATGTATGACACAGCTTCCCTCCATGAGTGAGCTAGAGGGCCACCTTGTCCACCTAAGAAGCTACAGTCAGGGTCATGGCCACAAGTCAGGTCCAAAAGAATGGAAACCAGGACAAAAACAAAAAACAAAAAAAACAGCTGCCTTCAAGAAAAGATATTTCCATTTCCTGCACTTCAGCTCCATCACTAGTGAAAGGCAGAGGTTGGATGAAATAATAAAGTTTCATCTTGCTCCAACATGCTGTTAGAATTCTCCCTGTCCAGCTTATCAACCCAGAAGTTAAAGGTACTCCCT